TCGCGAGGTCTCCCGCCTTGAGCCACTGGTAGGGCCCATCCACGGTCCCGCCCTTGCAGGTGCCAACACCTCCGCAGTTCAGCAGGTGCTGGACCGCCAGGTTGATGTCCACGCCCGCGCCCTGTCCTGGGCGCTCTTGGCGCGTTTGAGTCGTAGCCCTGGTAAATGAATTAACATACCGCATACGCATCCAATGGCTTCAGTTAGACTTCATTTGGAGGTTGCCCAGGAAATGAGTCGGCCACAGTTTGGGTTCCATGTGCTAACTGGTTGTTACTCACTGGGATGTTGTGTTTTTCTGGGTCCCAAGTGAACATGTGTGGAGATATCAAAACGACTTTTGCGTCCCGGTGGCTTCCTTTCAAGCCATGATTTAGAGGGTAATGTTGATCTGGGTTTTGGTTGTTGAATTTTCTCAGGGGAACCCTCTAGTGGACGTCGTCAGACTTCGGTGGGGATTCATGTCCACCAACCGCGTGTGTTTGCTGGCTCCCCATTAAACTTCATAGCCAACCTGCATGAAGTTCTCCTTGTGATTGAGTGTACCACACATCGGTTGGGGCCGGGGACAGTTGAGAGGAGAAAACTTTGATGAAGTGGTTGGGTGGTTTGGCTTTGGTTGTAAGGTGAAGTTGTTTGTTGTTTTGGATGTCAGTGTTTGAGACTTTGGGGAAAATCAACTTGCGTGATTATGTCGGACCCTTTACTTGCGGATTGTGCTACACCTTTAGTATCTTCCGGTTGACTTCTCTAGCAGTCGTCGTTCTGAGTGTGTCTTGCGTTGACCCGTTTTTGGGACGCCTTTGCTTGGTTTGTGTCCTGACCCGGTTCAAATTCCTTCGCACCACTCCTTCAACTACTCTACACTTCTGATAATCTCCCAAACCGAAAAGAAAAACAACAGCTCTGACATTGTTCAGATCCTATGCTTCAAGCGGCGGGCGATCTTGATGCGGTCGCCCAGAGCTGAAATTGCTCCATGGGCCCAGCAACTGCCGCAATACTGGGGGATGTGCTGGTTGCGGGACATGGTGCAGTAGTTCTTGCCGTCCTCCCAACGGCCACCAGCCGAAATTGGCGGTTTGATGCCAGCTGATGTTAAAGGCCACAAACAAAAACAAAAGCTATAGAAGACGTTCCTGTAATGTGTGTTGTTTGCAGCACACAACACCACCGTACAAACAGAGCAACCATGCGGTAATGACAAGCCTTGACATATCAGACCTATTCAGCGCGCTTTCTGGCAAACTGTGGCAAGTTTTTGGGCTTCCCTTTCAGGTGCCCGCCTGACATGCTTGAGATTGCTGCGCAAATTCATGTTTCGTTGCCAGCATCCTTAGCCATCTCTCTCAAGGACTCTGCGAACTGCTTCGGGGGGCATGCGCTGTGCAAGCTCGGCCCTGAGCCATTCAAATTGTGCATCACGCACCACACCCCTCGCTTTGCGGGACGCCGGCCGCATCCAGTTTCGGATCAGCAGTGAGTTGGCGCAGTCGATGCGCTGCATGTGGCAGTTGGACAGACCGCATCTTCCAGCGAACTTCGTGGCTGCACCATGACAATTGAGAGTCACAGGTCGATGTCCAGGACAGGTCCTGAGCCTGAGCCTCCTCCCGTAAAACGGCGACGCCCGAGGACCGTGGCGCCACTTGCGGGGGGAAAACGTACGCGCTGCTTTGGCGATCAGTTTCAGTGCGTCGAGTGTGTGACACGGTGTAAATCTTATGTCCACGGCGCTTCATACGCAGCGATTGCTCCTCGAGCACGGCGAGGGCTTGACGCAGATCACAGCAAAAGACGTGTCCCCCAAATGGCAATTCGCGCTGCAAGAGGGTACCCTCAAAACAAGGTGGACCCCAACTGTTGCCTTTTTCGTGCCTTGCCTTGAAGCCAACCTTAAACTTGCTGCTCAGCAGGGACTGAGGGAATGGCCCGAAATAAACCATCCAACTGGTGGCTTCCTCTAAGGGCCATTCCCTCATTCCCTGAGCACCAGCAAGTGAAACGTACCGAAAACCCCCCCCACCTTGTCGCACCACGTGAACTCCGACGGCATCTCCACGTCTCCCAGCAGCTCGTGAGAGCTCTGCTCCGAGGCGTTGCCGCGCCAGACCACCCCCAGCTTCTCAGCCTCCTGAGTCGGGACCCGCGGGGAGTGGTGGATGGGTCGGTCGCCATGGGTAGAGGGACCCCAAAAGAACGATATAAACCAGGATAAAAGGTGGGCGTGTCTTTTTTGGAGGCTCGGTAGCTTGTTTGTTGTGGTTTCAAAGGGAAACTAAAAGGAAAACAACCATCTTGGGTGGGTTCTCTCATCTTTTTGAGGCTTGGCACCTAATTTTACACCCATGTGTCAAACTGGAGGGACCAAGAAAATGGTGTATTCCTTCGGGTTTCCATTTAAACCAAGGTGAAACACATAAGGGAGCCCTTCGGATGGTCGATTTCCTTCGGTTTCCCTTTGACCCAAGAGGGCACCTTTAACACCGCACCCACATTGCCCTTCCTGGCCTGCATGGTTGATGTCAAAAGAAAACCAAAAGAACACCAACCTGGCTTTCCCCAAGTTTGACACACACACACACACACTCTTGAACACACACCCTTGTACAGGGGGGGGGGGGTAAAAGGAAGGGTGGGGTGTATGGTGGGGTGGGGGATGGGGGGGGAGGGCTTGCGGAGGGAGGGCTGCGAATTAGATTCTAACTTTTCTAACGAAGTGGCAGCCGGGGTTCAAGCCAAGGTAGGGTTGTTTGGGGCCCAAGTTTCAATGAAATGGCTGTGGCAAAACCAGGGAACCATTCAAAAGGGAACCTTTTCAAGTACCCCCCCAAACTGCTTGCCAGGGTGAATGGGGTTGTACTTCAAACCAAATTAACTCATGATCATACCCGCCCTCCCCCATCCCTCCCCCCCTAAAATCACAAGATAATAGTGCACGCAATTATTGAGCCCCTCGTATTGACCAAATGTGCCATTTGAACTGTTTTGAAGGGAAACCCAAAGGAAACCGCAGCAGCCCCTATTTTTGCACCCAGGCAATATGGCAGGACCGTCTGCTTAAATGGCCAATGGGTTTTTTGGGCGCTGCTCATACCAGGAATTAGCCAATTTATATCACATCGAACGGAACATCTGCTCAAGAATGGCTTCGGGTTTCCTTTTGGCTTCCCTAAACCAAGCAACCTCACAGGAGCAACCTGATTTCGGTCACATTTAAGCCAAAACAATGCACGGGCCGCCTCGCGGGGCAGCAGCTCGGAGGTGCGGCGGGCGTCCTCTTGGGCGGCGGCCAGGAGACCAAATGCGGCGGCCTGGAGTTCTCGTCGGGCGTAGAGGGACCGGGACCCCAAAATGGCAGTTCTCTCCCTTGCTTTCCCTTCAAAGCAGCAAGCCTGCAAGCAACAGCAGGTGTTTTTAAGATAGCTGAAGTTCTGCGTCTTGAAGATAGGGCTCTTTTCGCGGGATGAACTCACAAAATGGATTTGTCGTTCGGTTTCCCGGTGGTCTCCCTTTGGGTTGCTCCAAAACACCCGCGTGCCGGAAGTCCAGCAACACCCGACCAAATGAAGAGTCAGATGTGGAGTATGGGTATCGCAATAGGACGATAATTCTCGCGGTTGATTCGTGATTCTTGTCAAGCGTTGCCATGTGCAAACTCCCGTCGGTTGCCCTGATATGTTGTTTGCCGGAAAGAAGGATTCCTGGAAAGAATGGGAAGTTACTCTTCTGCAGACCAATATGGAACCCAAAAAGCCATTTTGTTGAGGGGGAGATCCCTTCTTGGAAGACCCTTTGGGGTCCATGAGTCCATCATAATTTGCAGCGGAGTGCCCTAGAATGATATGCAGCCGTGTTCGGCCTTTCCCGCCACTCCCTGCCTTGAACAGCTTCATGCTTCGCAAGGACTGAGGGAGCAAGGCGAACTTGAGCCGATCTGCCGGAAAAAAAGGACACGTCCCACCTGGAATTCATTGGGAACGTTATCCCCCGGTTTGATTCATGAATTGCCATGGCTGGCAATGCTTGTGCGAAACCCTGAAGGCTCGTGTTTATTGCTGTGCTCAACCGCAACGGCTCTTTCTGCAACCTGGCGGACTTTTCTCGGACCACGAGAGTCAAACTCAGTGACTCATTGGTTTCATGACATGGAGAGACAGCCCGCAATATTCGCGTCGCATGTAAGCTCCAAGTCAGTTTATGCTTCAGCGCGTGCGTCAAAGGGAAAAGGGACCCAAAGATGTGGTCTTCCTTTTCCTTTGAACCAACTTGAAAAGGGTACTCTGCAAACAATACAATCCTTGTCATGGTTGGCCTAACCTAAGGATTCATATCATCAACCCCTACCCCAAGGACGTAGAACCAGCTTTAGACAGGTAGTAGTCTTCTCGGTTTCTCAGCTGTGTGTATCGCGAGGCGAAGGGGCAAGTCGATTTTGCAGGCCGCCATGAACCACTCTTCCAGCAAACATAACACCTAAAACTGGACCCATCGTTTTACAATTGTCAAAGTCACCCCTTGAGTCCGCAGTTGAGGAAAGGGAAGCACCCCCAGTTGCTGACTTTGACAACACCGCTGCTGTCAATTCGCAGCTGTCTCCACAAGGTCTCTGGGATGTTTACCCCCGTGCGGATTCACCTGGAACCCAAAAAGTAACCATGGACGAAGCTCCCTTTTTGGGCCCACCCTTTTCGGGATCGGTGTTGATTTGGGGAGTAATGCGTGCCAGCAAACTACAAACAATATGCTCCCTTTTGCACTGGAAGAATTGCAATTCCCCATTCTGCTGGCAATTCTCCTGGAATCAACTGCCTGATTCTGCGAGAGGGTGACCAACCGGCCGGCCGCGCCGATTTTTCCCCGATGGCGAGCCAAGAATCCGCCAAGGGGAACGGCGAGCGAGCTCCCAAAATTGATAAATTTGTGGCACGGTCGCACATGTGCCATGGCCAAAACTCACACAGCGCACATTCGGCCGCACCGTCTAGTCGGCCATTGGTTTAGACCACCAGCTGCGCTGCCGGCTTGCAGTTGTCGCCACCCTCGTGGCAGTGGACCTGATGTGTTTTGCCGGAGCCCGAGCCCTCCGCCAAACAATCCCATGTTCTCCAATCAAAGGAAATGCTGATCCGTCGGAAGTAATCATGATTGGACTTTGTGGATGTCAGGTTCAACTTTTCCATCACGAGGAGCCCTGTGGATGCTCAACAATCGGTTGCCCTATGAAGCATGTCAGACGCTTGGCTGCACCGCAGCCGTAACTGTTTGAGCCCTTGGTTGAGCGAGGATCAAATTGTTTCCAGGTTCCAGGATGGGTCACATTTTGATGGCTCCCGGCTTCAAAGTATCTGCCGCACCATCCGATGTTCAAACATGATTGCCTGCGAACGCTGGCAGGCAATCATACCCAACCAGCTTCCTATGTGCTTGACAAAATTCGCTGCACCCTGCTTTGTCTGCTTCCCCCCTCATCACCTCATCCGCTTATCTCCTCATCCCCGTATCCCCTTACCCCCTCATCTGCGCATCCTTGCATCCCCTTATTGCCTGACTGGGTACGTGTCAAGCTCGGGATTTGGACGGAAACAAACTCCAAAGACACAAATCATAGGATCCCAATGCCCTCCCCTTTAACATCCCGGAACCCCTGGCTTCCTCAAAACAATCACACACGTACACTCTCACGCACACTCTCACGCACACGCCCACACACATGGTTAAATGCCAAGGGAGTCGAATGACCCAATTCGAGTAGAACATCAAACACATTTCGAGTTGGTCACACACACACACGTATATATATATATATATATATGTACATGCATATATACTGGGTACATCCTGTTTACGAGTTGCTTGCGGCTACAACTGTTACATTTTCGGAGGCCACAAAAGGGTTTCGGGGTAGTTGTGTTCGGTGCCGTTCCGCGTGGGCCCAGCCTATATCATATTAGTGTTGTTTGTTGGAAGTGGTGGTTGGCGTACGGTCAACTCTTAATCAGACTACACCGATATCTATGTACATAATGTTAAATGTAGGTGTTAAATATGTGTATATATAAATATGCGTGTATGTATATATATATATATATACACATACATCCGCTTCACGTCACTGGGCTTGACAAACGAAAAAGGCGCCTGGTTGTCCTTCTCCTGCGCGGTGAAGGAGCCGGGCACCGCCCAGGAGCACTGCTCCTGAAACCGAAGTCGTTCGACAAGTTGAAACGAGCTTAAGTCGATACAGCATGTTCCTTTGAAGGGACATCTGTGACATCTGTTTCTGATCGTTCCCACCCATTGTTTTGGACCAGAATAGAGTCCGTTTTTCCCCAAGTGACTTCTCTTGAAAAAACAACCAAACATCAACTTAGAAATTCGAAATCGAAGAAAAGGCTTGCCCGTAGGGGGAGGCGATCAATTGATACCAGGGTCTTGCCACAACGCTGGCACCCTGTCCTCCAACTTCAAGGCGCCCTTGGCCACGCGGAAGTAGCCCATCTCACCCCAGAACTCACCCCAGGAGTTACGCACGATCCAGTACCTCACACGCGCGTGCGCAGGCGCACATCTGGTGTCGGGTTTAGGGGTCCGCGCCGGCCGGCGAAGCTTACACGGTCCTGCACTTCCTTCGTTTGGCAGATTCAATCATCGCCCTTGGGGCCACGTTACAGTGAGCTTCGTCTTGGCGGGGCGATGTTTGCGGGGCTGAGAAGGACCCCTTGGGGTCCCCTTTTAGGGGTGCTTTGAAGGAACATCCAGGGGTTAATCACCCACGTTTGCGGTTTGTGGTGGAGACAAAACCATTTAGGAGTGTGCTTGCAGCTTCTAAGCTAGCAGCTAGGTGTTGAACAGGGGCTCTGCGCAAATTGAAGCATCACACATCGACTGTTGGGTCCCTAAACCAATCATATGGGATGATTTAATCTCTGTGTGAAATGATCATGTCTTGCAAAGATGTGTTTCTGTGAGACTGTCTGAACGGCAGTCTAACCAAGCCACCCCCCTACATGAACTGCTGTCGTGGATTGGCCATTTGGGTTTTTGAAGAGAATTCATCAACCTCAGTCTATGAACAGAGGGTTGTTCCCCCTAAGCGCCGATTCCCCACGAAACCCAGAAACACCCCCCTAATCAGCTGGGGTCGACCTGGCTTCCCCCCGAAGGATGCCTGAGGGTTCCGATCCAAAAAGCCCCAAACGTTCCATGCAGGAGTTTTTCAACTCGAGCCACAAATGATCTACAGGTTAATATGGTGCCTTTCTTGCCCATGTTTGCGGTTTGAAAGGGCAATGCCACCTGCTCTAAATTGGGAAGTCTTCTGGAGGTTCAAAGAAAACCCGCAAGAAAAATGAGCCTCTTTAAAAGGAGCAAATCCCTTTTTGTTCACACAGACCCACTTTACGGAAACGTCTCTTGTTGCCCTAACGCGGCGCAGGCGCATGCCCTGCTTCTTGTCGGTGCCCCAGCCCACCACGGAGACCACATGGTCCACGGACTCGCCCTCGTCCGTCGTGATGCCTTGGCTTGAAAAGAAGGATCTGAATCTTCTGGCTGCTTTGAAGCCTCAGATTTGCTCGGTTGCTCGTTTGCTTACCTTTTGTTGGCGGCCCACAATGGTCCAAGAACGGGCTTGGGACGGAAAACAGGGTCCCCTTTGCATCCGGGGGAATCACCCTCCCGTCCACGTTGCCGAACCCACCAGAAGCCCCGCTTTTAAGCCAAGATCGTCTTCCAGAGACCCCGAGTCAGGTTCCATGTGGCTGGGGGGCATGACACAATCCAAACTCGATGGCTAAAAGGTTTCACCTTTTGTAGCGGCACAAACCATCCACTTCCCCAAAAGACTAAAGGCTAAAAAATCCAACCCGATAGCATTCATTTCGCTAATCCAACAAACTTGGGAACCAAACTGAGCATCCCAGCCGCCTGCAGAAGTCTACGATATTGATCACACCCAGGCATATAATCTGACTGGTATATTTGAGCTGTTTTTCTATAGGGTGCCTTAAAGGATACGTTTCAGTCAGCTGAAAGAAACTTGGAGGATGTCCTTGTGGCACGGTTTTCGGATGTAGCCTTTAAGAATTGCTGATTAAAATCTGATATTGAAATGGTCTACCAAAAACCATGCAAAGAATCAAAAGGCGGGCGCACCTACCTCTGGTTGGGAGCGTCCCGCACCATTCCTCCAATTACCCAGGGTTTGATCATGGTTCAGGTGGTCTTGGTTGTGGGCGTGCCCAATTTGAGGGTAGCCCTTTTGTGCCGGTTTAACAAGAAATTAACGGGAAATGAATCCCATGTATCCAATTTGAGGAGCCCTGTCTACGGTGGTTGAGCTTCTCACGCCGAGCGGCCCTGCTCATAGTTCAGCAAGGGCTGGGCATCCACACCGCAGCTGATGGGCCCCCGATGGAAGATCTCCTTCATCCTCAGGACAAAATACATCAACGGATCCGCCGGACAAATGCTTGGCCCACATATTTTCTTGTCATGATTCTTGTTACACAAATGAGCTTTGGACGAGATTCTTATTCAGTCTAGCCGAAAAATCGCCCAAAAATAGAACAGTGTCGGTTTCGGCGGCCACATGATTGGTGCACCGAATTCTGCAAGCGTCTTCTGCGCCTTGCGAAGGACAACGTGAACCCAAGCCTCATGATCCCACCAAAAGGCGACTCCCCTTAAAAACACCCAAAAGGTGAATTGCAAAAGCATCAAAAGAGGAGATAGAAGGAAGCCAACCCTGGTAGATCAATTTTCCGGTAAAAGCTATCCCAGAATCTCCGGCCAAACTTTGCGCACAAATTAGTTTCATTCACCTGCCTGAGCTGAAGGATACAGAAGCAAGAGACCCTCACCATGGGTAAGGCAGTTCTGACCCACATGGCCCATGTGATTAGCTCTTCCAGGAGTGGTGCCTCATTGAGTCTCGGGGAATGGACTGTGGCACCACCTAGTTCCTTGCCGACGATCACTCTTCTTTGTCATATCAACCCCCTGGTTGGCATTCACGCACCGAACTTTGCGCAAGGAGCCCACAGCATCTGTTCGCCGGTCAAGGGGCAGCTCGCCCACCGCAAAGCAACCGCTTGTTCCAAGTCGTATTGTCCATTTCTCGTTCGAGGCGCAAACGCATGGCGATGTGTCCAATTCCCCAGGCATTCAGCAAACAACCCTGCACCCTGGTGATCCCAATAGATCGGGCCAAAACCAGACCAGTTGCAAATTCAGCCTTGTTGCTGTTGCTGGTTGCTGGAGAGATTATGAGCCCCAAACAGGCAGTCTGAGCGGTCAAAATATGACGTTTCCAAGGACCGCCGAGTGGCATGGCATCCGCGCCGCTGATGGACCCGTAGTCCGTGATGGTGGCGTTGGGATAGTCGGACAGGCCGGTGCAGGGGCCACCCTCCTGACGCGGCATCATGGGACCCATTGGCTGGTGTTTGAGACAAACCCACCTGTTCGGCACTTCCCCAAAGACATCCCCACAGAATCCCCGTCAGACAGCCCCTTTAAAGTCACTCCCGAAAAAGACATCGCGCCAAGGCAGCTTCCAAAGACACCCTGGAAGTCATCCCCCGAACAACCACGATTGCGCGCCAGAAGGGAAATGAGCTTTTCTTTTTACTTCATGAACCTATCAACCTATAAATATGTTTTCTAGCTTTCACTTCCTATATTCATTGAGATCACTTGCCGGAACGATGTATCTTTACACGTTCGCCATCCTTGCGCGGCTTCCATCGGGGTGTCCCAATCTGTTTGGGCCAACAAACCAACAGGTGAAATGAGATTTGTCTTTGGGACTTACATTTAGAATTTATCTTTAGAATTTACCTTTAGGATTCGCCTTTAAGATTTATCTTTCGGATTTATCTTTAGAATTTACCTTTAGGATTCGCCTTTAAGATTTATCTTTCGGATTTATCTTTAGGATTTACCTTTGGGATTCGCCTTTAAGATTTATCTTTCGGATTTATCTTTAGGATTTACCTTTGGGATTCGCCTTTAAGATTTATCTTTCGGATTTATCTTTAGGATTTACCTTTGGGATTCGCCTTTAAGATTTATCTTTCGGATTTATCTTTAGGATTTACCTTTGGGATTCGCCTTTAAGATTTATCTTTCGGATTTATCTTTAGGATTTACCTTTGGGATTCGCCTTTAGGATTTATCTTTCGGATTTATCTTTAGGATTTACCTTTGGGATTCGCCTTTAAGATTTATCTTTCGGATTTATCTTTAGGATTTACCTTTAGGATTCGCCTTTAACATTTATCTTTCGGATTTATCTTTAGGATTTACCTTTGGGATTCGCCTTTAAGATTTATCTTTCGGATTTATCTTTAGGATTTACCTTTGGGATTCGCCTTTAAGATTTATCTTGCGGATTTATCTTTAGGATTTACCTTTGGGATTCGCCTTTAAGATTTATCTTTCGGATTTATCTTTAGGATTTACCTTTAGGATTCGCCTTTAAGATTTATCTTTCGGATTTATCTTTAGGATTTACCTTTGGGATTCGCCTTTAAGATTTATCTTTCGGATTTATCTTTAGGATTTACCTTTTGGATTCGCCTTTAAGATTTATCTTTCGGATTTATCTTTAGAATTTACCTTTAGGATTCGCCTTTAAGATTTATCTTTCGGATTTATCTTTAGGATTTACCTTTGGGATTCGCCTTTAAGATTTATCTTTCGGATTTATCTTTTTCGCCTTTAAGATTTATCTTTCGGATTTATCTTTAGGATTTACCTTTGGGATTCGCCTTTAAGATTTATCTTTCGGATTTATCTTTAGGATTTACCTTTGGGATTCGCCTTTAAGATTTATCTTTCGGATTTATCTTTAGGATTTACCTTTAGGATTCGCCTTTAAGATTTATCTTTCGGATTTATCTTTAGGATTTACCTTTGGGATTCGCCTTTAAGATTTATCTTTCGGATTTATCTTTAGGATTTACCTTTGGGATTCGCCTTTAAGATTTATCTTTCGGATTTATCTTTAGGATTTACCTTTGGGATTCGCCTTTAAGATTTATCTTTCGGATTTATCTTTAGGATTTACCTTTGGGATTTGTCTTTGGGATATACCTTTGGGATTTACCTTTAGGATTTGTCTTTTGGATTCGCCTTTAAGATTTATCTTTCGGATTTATCTTTAGGATTAATTTTTGGGATTTGTCTTTGGGATATACCTTTGGGATTTACCTTTAGGATTTGTCTTTTGGATTTGTCTTTAGGGTTTGTCTTTCTGCAACCAGTACTGGTACTGGTACTGGTTCCTTGGCTTTCAGGAAAGCGACCACTGGTGAGAAACGGTTCTTCTTTCGAGGGATGGATAATTTCGGCTGGTTCCTTCATTCCCCGGGTTTGTGTCAAAGGGGAGCCACTATGGGCCGTGTCCGATTGGCTTCGCTTTTAAAACAGCCCCAAAAGGCGGCTTGCCCAAACCAAAAACACAAGCCCACCGAGAACCAGCAAGAAGGTTCTCAAAACAAACCTGCCGCCCCCCAAAAACACACAAACACACACACACACACACACACACACACACACACACACACACACACACACACACACACACACACACACACACACACACACACACACAGCCGTTGCGTCGGTGCCTGGGAGAAGCTGCCGCAGGTGCGTGCCACGTTCACCGGCTTGCAGGAGGTGTCCACGTGGGGGCAGAAGCCCTCCGGTGTTGGGCGGGTCATTTTGCAGAGTTCCCCCCTCGAGTGCCCACACAGTCCAATTCAGTCGCCCTTTCTCTTTCCCCCTTTCAGCTGCCCCGCCCGCCTCGGAGGAGTCCGAGCTGCAGGCCACGTAGGGGTTGGAGGTCTCGTAGCTGATGCCCGTGCCCTTCTCCGAGATGCCCTCGGGGCGCGGGGAATCGGCTCCCAATTTGGGGACCTCCCTACTCCGGGGAGTTCTGTCCGCCAACCCACGTGTCAAGGGGCGTCTGATTGAAATTCACAGGCATCTCTCTTCTTGGAAGTTCAAGTGAAGCCACAAGGACACCCGAAGCAATTGTTCGGTTTGTAGCAACATTTTGACACGGACCTGCCTGATTTCAGGTGTTGAGTTGTCATGGACAACACTCCACGCCAGGCAGGCAGGTTCATCAACCATAGGGTTTCAACCATCGCACATGGTGCAGGAGTTCGTGCATCTTCCTCGCGGAATGGGCGGCGGGCTCCAAATTGTCCCATGTCCTTTTGACAGGCACAAATCTCAGCATCCAAAAACATGGCCGGCGTTGGTTGTGTCCCTTCAGGGCCACCGCAAAAAGGGTACCCTCAAAAACACACATGAGTTCCCCTTTCCTTTTTACGCATCACCCCGAAAGAAACTCACTTTGGATTGGCCCAAAGGGTGACTGTTAAAGCCACCGAAAGGGGAAATATAGAGAACCCTTTCATAACCCACAGCAGCTTGAGTCATAACCCTAAATTTCCTAAATGAGAGCACCAAATGTTCACGCCCTCCTGAGGAACAAAGAGTAGTGTCTGCAGGTTTTATGTCTTCCCTGGCCCCAAAAGCTCCGCCGAGCAATATCTTGGACCTTCCACCATGCTCGCTTTCAGCCCGGATCAGAGCCTCTTGACCGCAGCTTTTCCCACTGAAAGTCGTGATTGATTCTTGGGAAATCTTAAAATGAAAATCAATTTCAATAAGGTCCCACTCAAAAGGCTCGCAATCAACCTCACCATAGATCTTGAACCTCCTCAAATCGTTCATGAATGCAGCCTGGCCTCGGTGATGGATTTGCCATGGCTTAGTCTCTTAGTTAGTGGTTTCCCGTAATTGAGGCACAAGTAGTTCATTGACCAAATAAACTACCGGATATCAGCGGCTCATGTATCTGCAAGTTCTACAGTAATTCCAAAACCGGAAATAGAAAATGGATTTCCAGGTAAAGGAGCTACATCGCGGCTTTTCGCTCGTTTTATTCCCGAATCGGTGGAACCGCTCACCACAAAGACGCAGATATGGGTGTGTCTTTTTGGAGGATACCGTTTTGGTTGGTTGGAAGGGAAACTTAAGGAAGCCGATCATTCTGAGGGTCCACTTTGAGACAAACCCATAGCGCCAAAACCCGTTGACTTGTGGTTCTACTAGCAGGGTCATAAAGGAGCATATAGGCCGTACTATACACCCTTTAAACCAAGTAGAACCACTTACCGAAATGGCCAATCGGGGCTGTGGCCCTTGACAGACACAAAGCGACGCCTCGCGAGGTCTCCCGCCTTGAGCCACTGGTAGGGCCCATCCACGGTCCCGCCCCTGCAGGTGCCAACACCTCCGCAGTTCAGCAGGTGCTGCACCGCCAGGTTGATGTCCACGCCCGCGCCCTGTCCTGGGCGCTCTTGGCGCGTTTGAGTCATAGCCCTGGTAACAATGAGTTAGCATACCGCATACGCATCCAATGGCATCAGTTAGACTTCATTTGGAGGTATTTAGAGGGTAATGTTGATCTGGTTTTTGGTTGTTGAATTTTCTCAGGGGAACCCTCTAGTGGACGTCAGACTTCGGTGGGGATTCATGTCCACCAACCGCGTGTGTTTGCTGGCTCCCCATTAAACTTCATAGCCAACCTGCATGAAGTTCTCCTTGTGATTGAGTGTACCACACATCGGTTGGGGCCGGGGACAGTTGAGAGGAGAAAACTTTGATGAAGTGGTTGGATGGTGTGGCTTTGGTTGTAAGGTGAAGTTGTTTGTTGTTTGGATGTCAGTGTTTGAGACTTTGGGGAAAATCAACTTGCGTGATTATGTCGGACCCCTTTACTTGCGGATTGTGCTACACCTTTAGTAGCTTCCGTTTGACTTCTCTAGCAGTTGTCGTTCTGAGTGTGTCTTGCGTTGACCCGTTTTTGGGACGCCTTTGCTCGGTTTGTGTCCTGACCCGGTTCAAATTCCTTCGCACCACTCCTTCAACTACTCTACACTTCTGATAATCTCCCAAACCGAAAAGAAAGACAACAGCTCTGACATTGTTCAGATCCTATGCTTCAAGCGGCGGGCGATCTTGATGCGGTCGCCCAGAGCTGAAATTGCTCCATGGGCCCAGCAACTGCCGCAATACTGGGGGATGTGCTGGTTGCGGGACATGGTGCAGTAGTTCTTGCCGTCCTCCCAGCGGCCACCACCCGAAATTGGCGGTTTGATGCCAGCTGATGTTAAAGGCCACAAACAAAAACAAAAAGCTATAGAAGACGTTCCTGTAATGTGTGTTGTTTGCAGCACACAACACCACCGTACAAACAGAGCAACCACGCGGTAATGACAAGCCTTGACATATCAGACCTATTCAGCGCGCTTTCTGGCAAACCTGTGGCAAGTTTGTGGGCTTCCCTTTCATGTGCCCGCCTGACATGCCTGAGATTGCTGCGCAAATTCATGTTTCGTTGCCAGCATCCTTAGCCATCTCTCTCAAGGACTCTGCGAACTGCTTCGGGGGGCATGCGCTGTGCAAGCTCGGCCCTGAGCCATTCAAATTGTGCATCACGCACCACACCCCTCGCTTTGCGGGACGCCGGCCGCATCCAGTTTCGGATCAGCAGTGAGTTGGCGCAGTTGATGCGCTGCATGTGGCAGTTGGACAGACCGCATCTTCCAGCGAACTTCGTGGCTGCACCATGACAATTGAGAGTCACAGGTCGATGTCCAGGACAGGTCCTGAGCCTGAGCCTCCTCCCGTAAAACGGCGACGCCCGAGGACCGTGGCGCTACTTGCGCGGGGAAAACGTACGCGCTGCTTTGGCGATCAGTTTCAGTGCGTCGAGTGTGTGACACGATGTAAATCTTATGTCCACGGCGCTTCATGCGCAGCGATTGCTCCTCGAGCACGGCGAGGGCTTGACGCAGATCACAGCAAAAGACGTGTCCCCCAAATGGCAATTCGCGCTGCAAGAGGGTACCCTCAAAACAAGGTGGACCCCAACTGTTGTCTTTTTCGCGCCTTCCCTTGAAGCCAACCTTCAACTTGCTGCTCAGCAGGGACTGAGGGAATGGCCCGAAATAAACCATCCAACTGGTGGCTTCCTCTAAGGGCCATTCCCTCATTCCCTGAGCACCAGCAAGTGAAACGTACCGAAAACCCCCCCCACCTTGTCGCACCACGTGAACTCCGACGGCATCTCCACGTCTCCCAGCAGCTCGTGAGAGCTCTGCTCCGAGGCGTTGCCGCGCCAGACCACCCCCAGCTTCTCAGCCTCCTGAGTCGGGACCCGCGGGGAGTGGTGGATGGGTCGGTCGCCATGGGTAGAGGGACCCCAAAAGAACGATATAAACCAGGATAAGAGGTGGGCGTGTCTTTGTTGGAGGCTCGGTAGCTTGTTTGTTGTGGTTTCAAAGGGAAACTAAAAGGAAAACAACCATCTTGGGTGGGTTCTCTCATCTTTTTGAGGCTTGGCACCTAATTTTACAAACTGGAGGGACCAAGAAAATGGTGTGTTCCTTCGGGTTTCCATTTAAACCAAGGTGAAACACATAAGGGAGCCCTTCGGATGGTCGATTTCCTTCGGTTTCCCTTTGACCCAAGAGGGCACCTTTAACACCGCCCACATTGCCCTTCCTGGCCTGCATGGTTGATGTCAAAAGAAAACCAAAAGAACACCAACCTGGCTTTCCCCAAGTTTGACACACACACACACACACACTCTTGAACACACACCCTTGTACAGGGGGGGGGGGGGGGTAAAAGGAAGGGTGGGGTGTATGGTGGGGTGGGGGATGGGGTGGGGAGGGCTTGCGGAGGGAGGGCTGCGAATTAGATTCTAACTTTTCTAACGAAGTGGCAGCCGGGGTTCAAGCCAAGGTAGGGTTGTTTGGGGCCCAAGTTTCAATGAAATGGCTGTGGCAAAACCAGGGAACCATTCAAATGGGAACCTTTTCAAGTACCCCCCCAAACTGCTTGCCAGGGTGAATGGGGTTGTACTTCAAACCAAATTAACTCATGATCATACCCGCCCTCCCCCATCCCTCCCCCCCTAAAATCACAAGATAATAGTGCACGCAATTATTGAGCCCCTCGTATTGACCAAATGTGCCATTTGAACTGTTCTGAAGGGAAACCCAAAGGAAACCGCAGCAGCCCCTATTTTTGCACCCAGGCAATATGGCAGGACGTCTGCTTAAATGGCCAATGGTTTTTGGGCGCTGCTCATACCAGGAATTAGCCCACATGGCAGGACCCGAACGGAACATCTGTTCAAGAATGTCTTCGGGTTTCCTTTTGGCTTCCCTAAACCAAGCAACCTCACAGGACCAACCTAATTTCGGTCACGTTTAAGCCAAAACAATGCACGGGCCGCCTCGCGGGGCAGCAGCTCGGAGGTGCGGCGGGCGTCCTCTTGGGCGGCGGCCAGGAGACCAAATGCGGCGGCCTGGAGTTCTCGTCGGGCGTAGAGGGACCGGGACCCCAAAATGGCAGTTATCTCCCTTGCTTTCCCTTCAAAGCAGCAAGCCTGCAAGCAACAGCAGGTGTTTTTAAGATAGCTGAAGTTCTGCGTCTTGAAGATAGGGCTCTTTTCGCGGGATGAACTCACAAAATGGATTTGTCGTTCGGTTTCCCAGTGGTCTCCCTTTGGGTTGCTCCAAAACACCCGCGTGCCGGAAGTCCAGCAACACCCGACCAAATGAAGAGTCAGATGTGGAGTATGGGTATCGCAATAGGACGATAATTCTCGCGGTTGATTCGTGATTCTTGTCAAGCGTTGCCATGTGCAAACTCCCGTCGGTTGCCCTGATATGTTGTTTGCCGGAAAGAAGGATTCCTGGAAAGAATGGGAAGTTACTCTTCTGCAGACCAATATGGAACCCAAAAAGCCATTTTGTTGAGGGGGAGATCCCTTCTTGGAAGACCCTTTGGGGTCCATGAGTCCATCATAATTTGCAGCGGAGTGCCCTAGAATGATATGCAGCCGTGTTCGGCCTTTCCCGCCACTCCCTGCCTTGAACAGCTTCATGCTTCGCAAGGACTGAGGGAGCAAGGCGAACTTGAGCCGATCTGCCGGAGAAAAAGGACACGTCCCACCTGGAATTCATTGGGAACGTTATCCCCCGGTTTGATTCATGAATTGCCATGGCTGGCAATGCTTGTGCGAAACCCTGAAGGCTCGTGTTTATTGCTGTGCTCAACCGCAACGGCTCTTTCTGCAACCTGGCGGACTTTTCTCGGACCACGAGAGTCAAACTCAGTGACTCATTGGTTTCATGACATGGAGAGACAGCCCGCAATATTCGCATCGCATGTAAGCTCCCAGTCAGTTTATGCTTCAGCGCGTGCGTCAAAGGGGAAAGGGACCCAAAGATGTGGTCTTCCTTTTCCCTTTGAACCAACTTGAAAAGGGTACTCTGCAAACAATACAATCCTTGTCATGGTTGGCCTAACCTAAGGATTCATATGATCAACCCCTACCCCAAGGACGTAGAACCAGCTTTAGACAGGTAGTAGTCTTCTCGGTTTCTCAGCTGTGTCTATCGCAAGGAGAAGGGGCAAGACGATTTTTTGCAGGCCGCCGTGAACCACTCTTCCAGCAAACATAACACCTAAAACTGGACCCATCGTTTGACAATTGTCAAAGTCACCCCTTAAGTACGTAGTTGGCTAAAGGGAACCACCCCCAGTTGCTGACTTTGACAACACCCGTGCTCCGGTGCTGTCAATTCGCAGCTGTCTCCACAAGCTTTCTGGGATGCCTAAATAGTTTACCCCCGTGCGGATTGACCTGGACCCAACAAGTAACCATGGATGAAGCTCCGTTGTTGGGCCCACCCTTTTCGGGATCGGTGTTGATTTGGGGAGTAATGCGTGCCAGCAAACTACAAACAATATGCTCCCTTTTGCACTGGAAGAATTGCAATTCCCCATTCTGCTGGCAATTCTCCTGGAATCAACTGCCTGATTCTGCGAGAGGGTGACCAACCGGCCGGCCGCGCCGATTTTTCCCCGATGGCGAGCCAAGAATCCGCCAAGGGGAACGGCGAGCGAGCTCCCAAAAATGATAAATTTGTGGCACGGTCGCACATGTGCCATGGCCAAAACTCACACAGCGCACATTCGGCCGCACCGTCTAGTCGGCCATTGGTTTAGACCACCAGCTGCGCTGCCGGCTTGCAGTTGTCGCCACCCTCGTGGCAGTGGACCTGATGTGTTTTGCCGGAGCCCGAGCCCTCCGCCAAACAATCCCATGTTCTCCAATCAAAGGAAATGCTGATCCGTCGGAAGTAATCATGATTGGACTTTGTGGATGTCAGGTTCAACTTTTCCATCACGAGGAGCCCTGTGGATGCTCAGCAATCGGTTGCCCTATGAAGCATGTCAGACGCTTGGCTGCACCGCAGCCGTAACTGTTTGAGCCCTTGGTTGAGCGAGGATCAAATTGTTTCCAGGTTCCAGGATGGGTCACATTTTGATGGCTCCCGGCTTCAAAGTATCTGCCGCACCATCCGATGTTCAAACATGATTGCCCGCGAACGCTGGCAGGCAATCATACCCAACCAGCTTCCTATGTGCTTGACAAAATTCGCTGCACCCTGCTTTGTCTGCTTCCCCCCTCATCACCTCATCCGCTTATCTCCTCATCCCCGTATCCCCTTACCCCCTCATCTGCGCATCCTTGCATCCCCTTATTGCCTGACTGGGTACGTGTCAAGCTCGGGATTTGGACGGAAACAAACTCCAAAGACACAAATCATAGGATCCCAATGCCCCCTTTAACATCCCGGAACCCCTGGCTTCCTCAAAACAATCACACACGTACACTCTCACGCACACTCTCACGCACACGCCCACACACATGGTTAAATCCCAAGGGAGTCGAATGACCCAATTCGAGTAGAACATCAAACACATTTCGAGTTGGTTTGATTGCCCGGGCTCGAACACACACACACACACACACACACACACACACACACGTATATATATATATATATATATATGTACATGCATATATACTGGGTACATCCTGTTTACGAGTTGCTTGCGGCTACAACTGTTACATTTTCGGAGGCCACGAAAGGGTTTCGGGGTAGTTGTGTTCGGTGCCGTTCCGCGTGGGCCCAGCCTATATCATATTAGTGTTGTTTGTTGGAAGTGGTGGTTGGCGTACGGTCAACTCTTAATCAGACTACACCGATATCTATGTACATAATGTTAAATGTAGGTGTTAAATATGTGTATATATAAATATGTGTGTATGTATATATATATATACATCCGCTTCACGTCACTGGGCTTGACATGCGAAAAAGGCGCCTGGTTGTCCTTCTCCTGCGCGGTGAAGGAGCCGGGCACCGCCCAGGAGCACTGCTCCTGAAACCGAAGTCAGCAGTTCGACAAGTTGAAACGAGCTTAAGTCGATACAGCATGTTCCTTTGAAGGGACATCTGTGACATCTGTTTCTGATCGTTCCCACCCATTGTTTTGGACCAGAATAGAGTCCGTTTTTCCCCAAGTGACTTCTCTTGAAAAAACAACCAAACATCAACTTAGAAATTCGAAATCGAAGAAAAGGCTTGCCCGTAGGGGGAGGCGATCAATTGATACCAGGGTCTTGCCACAACGCTGGCACCCTGTCCTCCAACTTCAAGGCGCCCTTGGCCACGCGGAAGTAGCCCATCTCACCCCAGAACTCACCCCAGGAGTTACGCACGATCCAGTACCTCACACGCGCGTGCGCAGGCGCACATCTGGTGTCGGGTTTAGGGGTCCGCGCCGGCCGGCGAAGCTTACACGGTCCTGCACTTCCTTCGTTTGGCAGATTCAATCATCGCCCTTGGGGCCACGTTACCGTGAGCTTCGTCTTGGCGGGGCGATGTTTGCGGGGCTGAGAAGGACCCCTTGGGGTCCCCTTTTAGGGGTGCTTTGAAGGAACATCCAGGGGTTAATCACCCACGTTTGCGGTTTGTGGTGGAGACAAAACCATTTAGGAGTGTGCTTGCAGCTTCTAAGCTAGCAGCTAGGTGTTGAACAGGGGCTCTGCGCAAATTGAAGCATCACACATCGACTGTTGGGTCCCTAAACCAATCATATGGGATGATTTAATCTCTGTGTGAAATGATCATGTCTTGCAAAGATGTGTTTCTGTGAGACTGTCTGAACGGCAGTCTAACCAAGCCACCCCCCTACATGAACTGCTGTCGTGGATTGGCCATTTGGGTTTTTGAGGAGAATCTTGGATTCATCAACCTCAGTCTGTTAACAAATGGTTGTTTGCCCTAAGTGCTGATTCCCCACGAAACCCAGAAACACCCCCTAATCAGCTGGGGTCGACCTGGCTTCCCCCCAAAGGATGCCTGAGGGTTCCGATCCAAAAAGCCCCAAAAGTTCCATGCAGGAGTTTTTCAACTCGAGCCACGAATGATCTACAGGTTAATATGGTGCCTTTCTTGCCCATGTTTGCGGTTTGAAAGGGCCATGCCACCTGCTCTAAATTGGCATCGGTTTCGACATCGGAGGGGTCATCGTGCGGCACCGTGACATGTTTGCTGTTGGGAAACCTTTTATCCATTTCTGCTTGGAGGTTCAAAGAAAAACCGCAAGAAAAATGAGCCTCTTTGGGGGGAGCAAATCCCTTTTTTTCACACAGACCCACTTTGCGGAAACGCATGCTGTTGCCCTAAACGCGGCGCAGGCGCATGCCCTGCTTCTTGTCGGTGCCCCAGCCCACCACGGAGACCACATGGTCCACGGACTCGCCCTCGTCCGTCGTGATGCCTTGGCTTGAAAAGAAGGGCCTCACTGGAGGTTTGCGTGGATCTGAATCTTCTGGCTGCTTTGAAGCCTCAGACTTGCTCGGTTGCTCGTTTGCTTACCTTTTGTTGGCGGCCCGCAATGGTCCAAGAACGGGCTTGGGACGGAAAACAGGGTCCCCTTTGCATCCGGGGGAATCACCCTCCCGTCCACGTTGCCGAACCCACCAGAAGCCCCGCTTTTAAGCCAAGATCGTCTTCCAGGGACCCCGAGTCAGGTTCCATGTGGCTGGGGGGCATGACACAATCCAAACTCGATGGCTAAAAGGTTTCACCTTTTGTAGCGGCACAAACCATCCACTTCCCCAAAAGACTAAAGGCTAAAAAATCCAACCCGATAGCATTCATTTCGCTAATCCAACAAACTTGGGAACCAAACTGAGCATCCCAGCCGCCTGCAGAAGTCTACGATATTGATCACACCCAGGCATATAATCTGACTGGCATATTTGAGCTTCTTTTCTATAGGGTGCCTTAAAGGATACGTTTCAGTCAGCTGAAAGAGCACTTGTGCAGCTAACTTGGAGGATGTCCTTGTGGCACGGTTTTCGGATGTAGCCTTTAAGAATTGCTGATTAAAATCTGATATTGAAATGGTCTACCAAAAACCATGTAAAGAATCAAAAGGCGGGCGCACCTACCTCTGGTTGGGAGCGTCCCGCACCATTCCTCCAATTACCCAGGGTTTGATCATGGTTCAGGTGGTCTTGGTTGTGGGCGTGCCCAATTTGAGGGTAGCCCTTTTGTGCCGGTTTAACAAGAAATTCACGGGAAATGAATCCCATGTATCCAATTTGAGGAGCCCTGTCTACGGTGGTTGAGCTTCTCACGCCGAGCGGCCCTGCTCATAGTTCAGCAAGGGCTGGGCATCCACACCGCAGCTGATGGGCCCCCGATGGAAGATCTCCTTCATCCTCAGGACAAAATACATCAACGGATCCGCCGGACAAATGCTTGGCCCACATATTTTCTTGTCATGATTCTTGTTACACAAATGAGCTTTGGACGAGATTCTTATTCAGTCTAGCCGAAAAGTCGCCCAAAAATAGAACAGTTTCGGTTTCGGCGGCCACATGATTGGTGCACCGAATTCTGCAAGCGTCTTCTGCGGCTTGCGAAGGACAACGTGAACCCAAGCCTCATGATCCCACCAAAAGGCGACTCCCCTTAAAAACACCCAAAAGGTGAATTGCAAAAGCATCAAAAGAGGAGATAGAAGGAAGCCAACCCTGGTAGATCAATTTTCCGGTAAAAGCTATCCCAGAATCTCCGGCCAAACTTTGCGCACAAATTAGTTTCATTCACCTGCCTGAGCTGAAGGATACAGAAGCAAGAGACCCTCACCATGGGTAAGGCAGTTCTGACCCACATGGCCCATGTGATTAGCTCTTCCAGGAGTGGTGCCTCATTGAGTCTCGGGGAATGGACTGTGGCACCACCTAGTTCCTTGCCGACGATCACTCTTCTTTGTCATATCAACCCCCTGGTTGGCATTCACGCACCGAACTTTGCGCAAGGAGCCCACAGCATCTGTTCGCCGGTCAAGGGGCAGCTCGCCCACCGCAAAGCAACCGCTTGTTCCAAGTCGTATTGTCCATTTCTCGTTCGAGGCGCAAACGCATGGCGATGTGTCCAATTCCCCAGGCATTCAGCAAACAACCCTGCACCCTGGTGATCCCAATAGATCGGGCCAAAACCAGACCAGTTGCAAATTCAGTCTTGTTGCTGTTGCTGGTTGCTGGAGAGATTATGAGCCCCAAACAGGCAGTCTGAGCGGTCAAAATATGACGTTTCCAAGGACCGCCGAGTGGCATGGCATCCGCGCCGCTGATGGACCCGTAGTCCGTGATGGTGGCGTTGGGATAGTCGGACAGGCCGGTGCAGGGGCCACCCTCCTGACGCGGCATCATGGGACCCATTGGCTGGTGTTTGAGACAAACCCACCTGTTCGGCACTTCCCCAAAGACATCCCCACAGAATCCCCGTCAGACAGCCCCTTTAAAGTCACTCCCGAAAAAGACATCGCGCCAAGGCAGCTTCCAAAGACACCCTGGGCCTCATCCCCCGAACAACCACGATTGCGCGCCAGAAGGGAAATGAGCTTTTCTTTTTACTTTATGAACCTATTAACCTATTCAGACGTTTTCCAGCTTTCACTTTCCTATCTTCATTGAGATCATTTGCAGGAAAGATGTATCTTTATACGTTCGCCATCCTTGCGCGGCTTCCATCGGGGTGTCCCAATCTGTTTGGGCCAACAAACCAACAGGTGAAATGAGATTTGTCTTTTGGATTTGTCTTTAGGGTTTGTCTTTCTGCAACCAGTACTGGTACTGGTACTGGTTCCTTGGCTTTCAGGAAAGCGACCACTGGTGAGAAACAGTTCTTCTTTCGAGGGTGAGACACAGCCCCAAAAGGCGGCTTGCCCAAACCAAAAACACAAGCCTACCGAGAACCAGCAAGAAACCAGGCTGGGGGTTCTCAAAACAAACCTGCCGCCCCCCAAAAAAACACACACACACACACACACACACACACACACACACACACACACACACACACACACACACACACACACACAGCCGTCGCGTCGGTGCCTGGGAGAAGCTGCCGCAGGTGCGTGCCACGTTCACCGGCTTGCAGGAGGTGTCCACGTGGGGGCAGAAGCCCTCCGGTGTTGGGCGGGTCATTTTGCAGAGTTCCCCCCTCGAGTGCCCACACAGTCCAATTCAGTCGCCCTTTCTCTTTCCCCCTTTCAGCTGCCCCGCCCACCTCGGAGGAGTCCGAGCTGCAGGCCACGTAGGGGTTGGAGGTCTCGTAGCTGATGCCCGTGCCCTTCTCCGAGATGCCCTCGGGGCGCGGGGAATCGGCTCCCAATTTGGGGGACCTCCCTACTCTGGGGAGTTCTGTCCGCCGACCCACGTGTCAAGGGGCGTCTGATTGAAATTCACGGGCATCTCTCTTCTTGGAAATTCAAGTGAAGCCACAAGGACACCCGAAGCAATTTTTCGGTTTGTAGCAACATTTTGACACGGACCTGCCTGATTTCAGGTGTTGAGTTGTCATGGACAACACTCCACGCCAGGCAGGCAGGTTCATCAACCATAGGGTTTCAACCATCGCACATGGTGCAGGAGTTCGTGCATCTTCCTCGCGGAATGGGCGGCGGGCTCCAAATTGTCCCATGTCCTTTTGACAGGCACAAATCTCAGCATCCCAAAACATGGCCGGCGTTGGTTGTGTCCCTTCAGAGCCACCGCAAAAAGGGTACCCTCAAAAACACACATGAGTTCCCCTTTCCAGTTTACGCATCACCCCGAAAGAAACTCACTTTGGATTGGCCCAAAGGGTGACTTTTAAAGCCACCGAAAGGGGAAATATAGAGAACCCTTTCATAACCCACAGCAGCTTGAGTCATAACCCTAAATTTCCTAAATGAGGGCACCAAATGTTCACGCCCTCCTGAGGAACAAAGAGTAGTGTCTGCAGGTTTTATGTCTTCCCTTCCCTGGCCCCAAAAGCTCCGCCGAGCAATATCTTGGACCTTCCACCATGCTCGCTTTCAGCCCGAATCAGAGCCACTTGACCGCAGCTTTTGCCCACTGAAAGTCGTGATTGATTCTTGGGAAAGCTAAAAATGAAAATAAATTTCAATAAGATCCCACTCAAAAGGCTCGCAATCAACCTCACCATAGATCTTGAACCTCCTCAAATCGTTCATGAATGCAGCCTGGCCTCGGTGATGGATTTGCCATGGTTGAGCCCCCTTAGTCTCTTAGTTAGTGGTTTCCCGTAATTGAGGCACAAGTAGTTCATTGACCAAATAAACTACCGGATATCAGCGGCTCCTGTATCTGCAAGTTCTACAGTAATTCCAAAACCGGAAATAGAAAATGGATTCCAGGTAAAGGAGCTACATCGCGGCTTTTCGCTCGTTTTATTCCCGAATCGGTGGAACCGCTCACCACAAAAGAGGCAGATATGGGTGTGTCTTTTTGGAGGATACCGTTTTGGTTGGTTGGAAGGGAAACTTAAGGAAGCCGATCATTCTGAGGGTCCACTTTGAGACAAACCCATAGCGCCAAAACCCGTTGACTTGTGGTTCTACTAGCAGGGTCATAAAGGAGCATATAGGCCGTACTATACACCCTTTAAACCAAGTAGAACCACTTACCGAAATGGCCAATCGGGGCTGTGGCCCTTGACAGACACAAAGCGACGCCTCGCGAGGTCTCCCGCCTTGAGCCACTGGTAGGGCCCATCCACGGTCCCGCCCCTGCAGGTGCCAACACCTCCGCAGTTCAGCAGGTGCTGCACCGCCAGGTTGATGTCCACGCCCGCGCCCTGTCCTGGGCGCTCTTGGCGCGTTTGAGTCGTAGCCCTGGTAACAATGAGTTAGCATACCGCATACGCATCCAATGGCATCAGTTAGACTTCATTTGGAGGTTGCCCAGGAAATGAGTCGGCCACAGTTTGGGTTCCATGTGCTAACTGGTTGTTACTCACTGGGATGTTGTGTTTTTCTGGGTCCCAAGTGAACATGTGTGAAGATATCAAAACGACTTTTGCGTCCCGGTGGCTTCCTTTCAAGCCATGATTTAGAGGGTAATGTTGATCTGGCTTTTGGTTGTTGAATTTTCTCAGGGGAACCCTCTAGTGGACGTCAGACTTCGGTGGGGATTCATGTCCACCAACCGCGTGTGTTTGCTGGCTCCCCATTAAACTTCATAGCCAACCTGCATGAAGTTCTCCTTGTGATTGAGTGTACCACACATCGGTTGGGGCCGGGGACAGTTGAGAGGAGAAAACTTTGATGAAGTGGTTGGATGGTGTGGCTTTGGTTGTAAGGTGAAGTTGTTTGTTGTTTTGGATGTCAGTGTTTGAGACTTTGGGGGAAATCAACTTGCGTGATTATGTCGGACCCCTTTACTTGCGGATTGTGCTACACCTTTAGTATCTTCCGTTTGACTTCTCTAGCAGTCGTCGCTCTGAGTGTGTCTTGCGTTGAGCCGTTTTTGGGACGCCTTTGCTTGGTTTGTGTCCTGACCCGGTTCAAATTCCTTCGCACCACTCCTGCAACTACTCTACACTTCTGATAATCTCCCAAACCGAAAAGAAAAACAACAGCTCTGACATTGTTCAGATCCTATGCTTCAAGCGGCGGGCGATCTTGATGCGGTCGCCCAGAGCTGAAATTGCTCCATGGGCCCAGCAACTGCCGCAATACTGGGGGATGTGCTGGTTGCGGGACATGGTGCAGTAGTTCTTGCCATCCTCCCAACGGCCACCAGCCGAAATTGGCGGTTTGATGCCAGCTGATGTTAAAGGCCACAAACAAAAACAAAAGCTTTTGAAGACGTTCCTGTAATGTGTGTTGTTTGCAGCACACAACACCACCGTACAAACAGAGCAACCACGCGGTAATGACAAGCCTTGACATATCATACCTATTCAGCGCGCTTTCTGGCAAACTGTGGCAAGTTTTTGGAATTCCCTTTCATGTGCCCGCCTGACATGCTTGAGATTGCTGCGCAAATTCATGTTTCGTTGCCAGCATCCTTAGCCATCTCTCTCAAGGACTCTGCGAACTGCTTCGGGGGGCATGCGCTGTGCAAGCTCGGCCCTGAGCCATTCAAATTGTGCATCACGCACCACACCCCTCGCTTTGCGGGACGCCGGCCGCATCCAGTTTCGGATCAGCAGTGAGTTGGCGCAGTCGATGCGCTGCATGTGGCAGTTGGACAGACCGCATCTTCCAGCGAACTTCGTGGCTGCACCATGACAATTGAGAGTCACAGGTCGATGTCCAGGACAGGTCCTGAGCCTGAGCCTCCTCCCGTAAAACGGCGACGCCCGAGGACCGTGGCGCTACTTGCGCGGGGAAAACGTACGCGCTGCTTTGGCGATCAGTTTCAGTGCGTCGAGTGTGTGACACGATGTATATCTTATGTCCACGGCGCTTCATACGCAGCGATTGCTCCTCGAGCACGGCGAGGGCTTGACGCAGATCACAGCAAAAGACGTGTCCCCCAAATGGCAATTCGCGCTGCAAGAGGGTACCCTCAAAACAAGGTGGACCCCAACTGTTGTCTTTTTCGTGCCTTCCCTTGAAGCCAACCTTAAACTTGCTGCTCAGCGGGGACTGAGGGAATGGCCCGAAATAAACCATCCAACTGGTGGCTTCCTCTAAGGGCCATTCCCTCATTCCCTGAGCACCAGCAAGTGAAACGTACTGAAAACTCCCCCACCTTGTCGCACCACGTGAACTCCGACGGCATCTCCACGTCTCCCAGCAGCTCATGAGAGCTCTGCTCCGAGGCGTTGCCGCGCCAGACCACCCCCAGCTTCTCAGCCTCCTGAGTCGGGACCCGCGGGGAGTGGTGGATGGGTCGGTCGCCATGGGTAGAGGGACCCCAAAAGAACGATATAAACCAGGATAAAAGGTGGGCGTGTCTTTTTTGGAGGCTCGGTAGCTTGTTTGTTGTGGTTTCAAAGGGAAACTAAAAGGAAAACAACCATCTTGGGTGGGTTCTCTCATCTTTTTGAGGCTTGGCACCTAATTTTACACCCATGTGTCAAACTTGAGGGACCAAGAAAATGGTGTATTCCTTCGGGTTTCCATTTAAACCAAGGTGAAACACATAAGGGAGCCCTTCGGATGGTCGATTTCCTTCGGTTTCCCTTTGACCCAAGAGGGCACCTTTAACACCGCACCCACATTGCCCTTCCTGGCCTGCATGGTTGATGTCAAAAGAAAACCAAAAGAACACCAACCTGGCTTTCCCCAAGTTTGACACACACACACACACACACACACTCTTGAACACACACCCTTGTACAGGGGGGGGGTAAAAGGAAGGGTGGGGTGTATGGTGGGGTGGGGGATGGGGGGGGGAGGGCTTGCGGAGGGAGGGCTGCGAATTAGATTCTAACTTTTCTAACGAAGTGGCAGCCGGGGTTCAAGCCAAGGTAGGGTTGTTTGGGGCCCAAGTTTCAATGAAATGGCTGTGGCAAAACCAGGGAACCATTCAAAAGGGAACCTTTTCAAGTACCCCCCCAAACTGCTTGCCAGGGTGAATGGGGTTGTACTTCAAACCAAATTAACTGATGATCATACCCGCCCTCCCCCATCCCTCCCCCCCCCTAAAATCACAAGATAATAGTGCACGCAATTATTGAGCCCCTCGTATTGACCAAATGTGCCATTTGAACTGCTTTGAAGGGAAACCCAAAGGAAACCGCAGCAGCCCCTATTTTTGCACCCAGGCAATATGGCAGGACCGTCTGCTTAAATGGCCAATGGGCTTTTTGGGCGCTGCTCATACCAGGAATTAGCCAATTTATCACATGGCAGGACCCGAACGGAACATCTGCTCAAGAATGGCTTCGGGTTTCCTTTTGGCTTCCCTAAACCAAGCAACCTCACAGGAGCAACCTGATTTCGGTCACATTTAAGCCAAAACAATGCACGGGCCGCCTCACGGGGCAGCAGCTCGGAGGTGCGGCGGGCGTCCTCTTGGGCGGCGGCCAGGAGACCAAATGCGGCGGCCTGGAGTTCTCGTCGGGCGTAGAGGGACCGGGACCCCAAAATGGCAGTTCTCTCCCTTGCTTTCCCTTCAAAGCAGCAAGCCTGCAAGCAACAGCAGGTGTTTTTAAGATAGCTGAAGTTCTGCGTCTTGAAGATAGGGCTCTTTTCGCGGGATGAACTCACAAAATGGATTTGTCGTTCGGTTTCCCGGTGGTCTCCCTTTGGGTTGCTCCAAAACACCCGCGTGCCGGAAGTCCAGCAACACCCGACCAAATGAAGAGTCAGATGTGGAGTATGGGTATCGCAATAGGACGATAATTCTCGCGGTTGATTCGTGATTCTTGTCAAGCGTTGCCATGTGCAAACTCCCGTCGGTTGCCCTGATATGTTGTTTGCCGGAAAGAAGGATTCCTGGAAAGAATGGGAAGTTACTCTTCTGCAGACCAATATGGAACCCAAAAAGCCATTTTGTTGAGGGGGAGATCCCTTCTTGGAAGACCCTTTGCGGTCCATGAGTCCATCATAATTTGCAGCGCAGTGCCCTAGAATGATATGCAGCCGTGTTCGGCCTTTCCCGCCACTCCCTGCCTTGAACAGCTTCATGCTTCGCAAGGACTGAGGGAGCAAGGCGAACTTGAGCCGATCTGCCGGAAAAAAAGGACACGTCCCACCTGGAATTCATTGGGAACGTTATCCCCCGGTTTGATTCATGAATTGCCATGGCTGGCAATGCTTGTGCGAAACCCTGAAGGCTCGTGTTTATTGCTGTGCTCAACCGCAACGGCTCTTTCTGCAACCTGGCGGACTTTTCTCGGACCACGAGAGTCAAACTCAGTGACTCATTGGTTTCATGACATGGAGAGACAGCCCGCAATATTCGCGTCGCATGTAAGCTCCAAGTCAGTTTATGCTTCAGCGCGTGCGTCAAAGGGGAAAGGGACCCAAAGATGTGGTCTTCCTTTTCCATTTGAACCAACTTGAAAAGGGTACTCTGCAAACAATACAATCCTTGTCATGGTTGGCCTAACCTAAGGATTCATATGATCAACCCCTACCCCAAGGACGTAGAACCAGCTTTAGACAGGTAGTAGTCTTCTCGGTTTCTCAGCTGTGTCTATCGCGAGGCGAAGGGGCAAGTCGATTTTGCAGGCCGCCATGAACCACTCTTCCAGCAAACATAACACCTAAAACTGGACCCATCGTTTTACAATTGTCAAAGTCACCCCTTGAGTTGAGGAAAGGGAAGCACCCCCAGTTGCTGACTTTGACAACACCGCTGCTGTCAATTCGCAGCTGTCTCCACAAGGTCTCTGGGATGCCTAAATAGTTTACCCCCGTGCGGATTCACCTGGAACCCAGAACGCAACCATGGACGAAGCTCCCTTTTTGGGCCCACCCTTTTCGGGATCGGTGTTGATTTGGGGAGTAATGCGTGCCAGCAAACTACAAACAATATGCTCCCTTTTGCACTGGAAGAATTGCAATTCCCCATTCTGCTGGCAATTCTCCTGGAATCAACTGCCTGATTCTGCGAGAGGGTGACCAACCGGCCGGCCGCGCCGATTTTTCCCCGATGGCGAGCCAAGAATCCGCCAAGGGGAACGGCGAGCGAGCTCCCAAAATTGATAAATTTGTGGCACGGTCGCACATGTGCCATGGCCAAAACTCACACAGCGCACATTCGGCCGCACCGTCCAGTCGGCCATTGGTTTAGACCACCAGCTGCGCTGCCGGCTTGCAGTTGTCTCCACCCTCGTGGCAGTGGACCTGATGTGTTTTGCCGGAGCCCGAGCCCTCCGCCAAACAATCCCATGTTCTCCAATCAAAGGAAATGCTGATCCGTCGGAAGTAATCATGATTGGACTTTGTGGATGTCAGGTTCAACTTTTCCATCACGAGGAGCCCTGTGGATGCTCAACAATCGGTTGCCCTATGAAGCATGTCAGACGCTTGGCTGCACCGCAGCCGTAACTGTTTGAGCCCTTGGTTGAGCGAGGATCAAATTGTTTCCAGGTTCCAGGATGGGTCACATTTTGATGGCTCCCGGCTTCAAAGTATCTGCCGCACCATCCGATGTTCAAACATGATTGCCTGCGAACGCTGGCAGGCAATCATACCCAACCAGCTTCCTATGTGCTTGACAAAATTCGCTGCACCCTGCTTTGTCTGCTTCCCCCCTCATCACCTCATCCGCTTATCTCCTCATCCCCGTATCCCCTTACCCCCTCATCTGCGCATCCTTGCATCCCCTTATTGCCTGACTGGGTACGTGTCAAGCTCGGGATTTGGACGGAAACAAACTCCAAAGACACAAATCATAGGATCCCAATGCCCTCCCCTTTAACATCCCGGAACCCCTGGCTTCCTCAAAACAATCACACACGTACACTCTCACGCACACTCTCACGCACACGCCCACACACATGGTTAAATCCCAAGGGAGTCGAATGACCCAATTCGAGTAGAACATCAAACACATTTCGAGTTGGTTTGATTGACTGGGCTCGAACCTACACACACACGTATATATATATATATGTACATGCATATATACTGGGTACATCCTGTTTACGAGTTGCTTGCGGCTACAACTGTTACATTTTCGGAGGCCACAAAAGGGTTTCGGGGTAGTTGTGTTCGGTGCCGTTCCGCGTGGGCCCAGCCTATATCATATTAGTGTTGTTTGTTGGAAGTGGTGGTTGGCGTACGGTCAACTCTTAGTCAGACTACACCGATATCTATGTACATAATGTTAAATGTAGGTGTTAAATATGTGTATATATAAATATGCGTGTATGTATATATATATATACATACATCCGCTTCACGTCACTGGGCTTGACAAACGAAAAAGGCGCCTGGTTGTCTTTCTCCTGCGCGGTGAAGGAGCCGGGCACCGCCCAGGAGCACTGCTCCTGAAACCGAAGTCAGCAGTTCGACGAGTTGAAACGAGCTTAAGTCGATACAGCATGTTCCTTTGAAGGGACATCTGTGACATCTGTTTCTGATCGTTCCCACCCATTGTTTTGGACCAGAATAGAGTCCGTTTTTCCCCAAGTGACTTCTCTTGAAAAAACAACCAAACATCAACTTAGAAATTCGAAATCGAAGAAAAGGCTTGCCCGTAGGGGGAGGCGAGCAGTTGATACCAGGGTCTTGTTACAACGCTGGCACCCCGTCCTCCAACTTCAAGGCGCCCTTGGCCACGCGGAAGTAGCCCATCTCACCCCAGAACTCACCCCAGGAGTTACGCACGATCCAGTACCTCACACGCGCGTGCGCAGGCGCACATCTGGTGTCGGGTTTAGGGGTCCGCGCCGGCCGGCGAAGCTTACACGGTCCTGCACTTCCTTCGTTTGGCAGATTCAATCATCGTTTTTGGGGCCACGTTACAGTGAGCTTCGTCTTGGCGGGGCGATGTTTGCGGGGCTGAGAAGGACCCCTTGCTTTCTTGGACGAAGGTCTTGGGAAGCTGTGGCCGCGTCGCCTCCCACTAAAAACAAGCATTGATTGAACATGTGCGTGTCCCTTTTTTGAGGGTCCCTTTTTAGGGGTGCTTTGAAGGAACATCCAGGGGTTCATCACCCATGTTTGCGGTTTGTGGTGGAGACAAAACCATTTAGGAGTGTGCTTGCAGCTTCTAAGCTAGCAGCTAGGTGTTGAACAGGGGCTCTGCGCAAATTGAAGCATTACACATCTACTGTTGGGTCCCTAAACCAATCATATGGGATGATTTAATCTCTGTGTGAAATGATCATGTCTTGCAAAGATGTGTTTCTGTGAGACTGTCTGAACGGCAGTCTAACCAAGCCACCCCCCTACATGAACTGCTGTCGTGGATTGGCCATTTGGGTTCTTGAGGAGAATTCATCAACCTCAGTCTATGAACAGAGGGTTGTTCCCCCTAAGCGCCGATTCCCCACGAAACCCAGAAACACCCCCCTAATCAGCTGGGGTCGACCTGGCTTCCCCCCGAAGGATGCCTGAGGGTTCCGATCCAAAAAGCCCCAAACGTTCCATGCAGGAGTTTTTCAACTCGAGCCACGAATGATCTACAGGTTAATATGGTGCCTTTCTTGCCCATGTTTGCGGTTTGAAAGGGCCATGCCACCTGCTCTAAATTGGGAAGTATTCTTCTGGAGGTTCAAAGAAAACCCGCAAGAAAAATGAGCCTCTTTGGGGGGAGCAAATCCCTTTTTGTTCACACAGACCCACTTTACGGAAACGTCTCTTGTTGCCCTAAACGCGGCGCAGGCGCATGCCCTGCTTCTTGTCGGTGCCCCAGCCCACCACGGAGACCACATGGTCCACGGACTCGCCCTCGTCCGTCGTGATGCCTTGGCTTGAAAAGAAGGGCCTCACTGGAGGTTTGCGTGGATCTGAATCTTCTGGCTGCTTTGAAGCCTCAGACTTGCTCGGTTGCTCGTTTGCTTACCTTTTGTTGGCGGCCCGCAATGGTCCAAGAACGGGCTTGGGACGGAAAACAGGGTCCCCTTTGCATCCGGGGGAATCACCCTCCCGTCCACGTTGCCGAACCCACCAGAAGCCCCGCTTTTAAGCCAAGATCGTCTTCCAGGGACCCCGAGTCAGGTTCCATGTGGCTGGGGGGCATGACACAATCCAAACTCGATGGCTAAAAGGTTTCACCTTTTGTAGCGGCACAAACCATCCACTTCCCCAAAAGACTAAAGGCTAAAAAATCCAACCCGATAGCATTCATTTCGAATCCAACAAACTTGGGAACCAAACTGAGCATCCCAGCCGCCTGCAGAAGTCTACGATATTGATCACACCCAGGCATATAATCTGACTGGCATATTTGAGCTTGTTTTCTATAGGGTGCCTTAAAGGATACGTTTCAGTCAGCTGAAAGAAACTTGGAGGATATCCTTGTGGCACGGTTTTCGGATGTAGCCTTTAAGAATTGCTGATTAAAATCTGATATTGAAATGGTCTACCAAAAACCATGCAAAGAATCAAAAGGCGGGCGCACCTACCTCTGGTTGGGAGCGTCCCGCACCATTCCTCCAATTACCCAGGGTTTGATCATGGTTCAGGTGGTCTTGGTTGTGGGCGTGCCCAATTTGAGGGTAGCCCTTTTGTGCCGGTTTAACAAGAAATTCACGGGAAATGAATCCCATGTATCCAATTTGAGGAGCCCTGTCTACGGTGGTTGAGCTTCTCACGCCGAGCGGCCCTGCTCATAGTTCAGCAAGGGCTGGGCATCCACACCGCAGCTGATGGGCCCCCGATGGAAGATCTCCTTCATCCTCAGGACAAAATACATCAACGGATCCGCCGGACAAATGCTTGGCCCACATATTTTCTTGTCATGATTCTTGTTACACAAATGAGCTTTGGACGAGATTCTTATTCAGTCTAGCCGAAAAGTCGCCCAAAAATAGAACAGTTTCGGTTTCGGCGGCCACATGATTGGTGCACCGAATTCTGCAAGCGTCTTCTGCGGCTTGCGAAGGACAACGTGAACCCAAGCCTCATGATCCCACCAAAAGGCGACTCCCCTTAAAAACACCCAAAAGGTGAATTGCAAAAGCATCAAAAGAGGAGATAGAAGGAAGCCAACCCTGGTAGATCAATTTTCCGGTAAAAGCTATCCCAGAATCTCCGGCCAAACTTTGCGCACAAATTAGTTTCATTCACCTGCCTGAGCTGAAGGATACAGAAGCAAGAGACCCTCACCATGGGTAAGGCAGTTCTGACCCACATGGCCCATGTGATTAGCTCTTCCAGGAGTGGTGCCTCATTGAGTCTCGGGGAATGGACTGTGGCACCACCTAGTTCCTTGCCGACGATCACTCTTCTTTGTCATATCAACCCCCTGGTTGGCATTCACGCACCGAACTTTGCGCAAGGAGCCCACAGCATCTGTTCGCCGGTCAAGGGGCAGCTCGCCCACCGCAAAGCAACCGCTTGTTCCAAGTCGTATTGTCCATTTCTCGTTCGAGGCGCAAACGCATGGCGATGTGTCCAATTCCCCAGGCATTCAGCAAACAACCCTGCACCCTCGTGATCCCAATAGATCGGGCCAAAACCAGACCAGTTGCAAATTCAGCCTTGTTGCTGTTGCTGGTTGCTGGAGAGATTATGAGCCCCAAACAGGCAGTCTGAGCGGTCAAAATATGACGTTTCCAAGGACCGCCGAGTGGCATGGCATCCGCGCCGCTGATGGACCCGTAGTCCGTGATGGTGGCGTTGGGATAGTCGGACAGGCCGGTGCAGGGGCCACCCTCCTGACGCGGCATCATGGGACCCATTGGCTGGTGTTTGAGACAAACCCACCTGTTCGGCACTTCCCCAAAGACATCCCCACAGAATCCCCGTCAGACAGCCCCTTTAAAGTCACTCCCGAAAAAGACATCGCGCCAAGGCAGCTTCCAAAGACACCCTGGGCCTCATCCCCCGAACAACCACGATTGCGCGCCAGAAGGGAAATGAGCTTTTCTTTTTACTTTATGAACCTATTAACCTATTCAGACGTTTTCCAGCTTTCACTTTCCTATCTTCATTGAGATCATTTGCAGGAAAGATGTATCTTTATACGTTCGCCATCCTTGCGCGGCTTCCATCGGGGTGTCCCAATCTGTTTGGGCCAACAAACCAACAGGTGAAATGAGATTTGTCTTTTGGATTTGTCTTTAGGGTTTGTCTTTCTGCAACCAGTACTGGTACTGGTACTGGTTCCTTGGCTTTCAGGAAAGCGACCACTGGTGAGAAACAGTTCTTCTTTCGAGGGTGAGACACAGCCCCAAAAGGCGGCTTGCCCAAACCAAAAACACAAGCCCACCGAGAACCAGCAAGAAACCAGGCTGGGGGTTCTCAAAACAAACCTGCCGCCCCCCAAAAAAACACACACACACACAGCCGTCGCGTCGGTGCCTGGGAGAAGCTGCCGCAGGTGCGTGCCACGTTCACCGGCTTGCAGGAGGTGTCCACGTGGGGGCAGAAGCCCTCCAGTGTTGGGCGGGTCATTTTGCAGAGTTCCCCCCTCGAGTGCCCACACAGTCCAATTCAGTCGCCCTGTCTCTTTCCCCCTTTCAGCTGCCCCGCCCGCCTCGGAGGAGTCCGAGCTGCAGGCCACGTAGGGGTTGGAGGTCTCGTAGCTGATGCCCGTGCCCTTCTCCGAGATGCCCTCGGGGCGCGGGGAATCGGCTCCCAATTTGGGGGACCTCCCTACTCTGGGGAGTTCTGTCCGCCGACCCACGTGTCAAGGGGCGTCTGATTGAAATTCACGGGCATCTCTCTTCTTGGAAATTCAAGTGAAGCCACAAGGACACCCGAAGCAATTTTTCGGTTTGTAGCAACATTTTGACACGGACCTGCCTGATTTCAGGTGTTGAGTTGTCATGGACAACACTCCACGCCAGGCAGGCAGGTTCATCAACCATAGGGTTTCAACCATCGCACATGGTGCAGGAGTTCGTGCATCTTCCTCGCGGAATGGGCGGCGGGCTCCAAATTGTCCCATGTCCTTTTGACAGGCACAAATCTCAGCATCCCAAAACATGGCCGGCGTTGGTTGTGTCCCTTCAGAGCCACCGCAAAAAGGGTACCCTCAAAAACACACATGAGTTCCCCTTTCCAGTTTACGCATCACCCCGAAAGAAACTCACTTTGGATTGGCCCAAAGGGTGACTTTTAAAGCCACCGAAAGGGGAAATATAGAGAACCCTTTCATAACCCACAGCAGCTTGAGTCATAACCCTAAATTTCCTAAATGAGGGCACCAAATGTTCACGCCCTCCTGAGGAACAAAGAGTAGTGTCTGCAGGTTTTATGTCTTCCCTGGCCCCAAAAGCTCCGCCGAGCAATATCTTGGACCTTCCACCATGCTCGCTTTCAGCCCGAATCAGAGCCTCTTGACCGCAGCTTTTGCCCACTGAAAGTCGTGATTGATTCTTGGGAAAGCTAAAAATGAAAATAAATTTCAATAAGATCCCACTCAAAAGGCTCGCAATCAACCTCACCATAGATCTTGAACCTCCTCAAATCGTTCATGAATGCAGCCTGGCCTCGGTGATGGATTTGCCATGGTTGAGCCCCCTTAGTCTCTTAGTTAGTGGTTTCCCGTAATTGAGGCACAAGCAGTTCATTGACCAAATAAACTACCGGATATCAGCGGCTCCTGTATCTGCAAGTTCTACAGTAATTCCAAAACCGGAAATAGAAAATGGATTCCAGGTAAAGGAGCTACATCGCGGCTTTTCGCTCGTTTTATTCCCGAATCGGTGGAACCGCTCACCACAAAAGAGGCAGATATGGGTGTGTCTTTTTGGAGGATACCGTTTTGGTTGGTTGGAAGGGAAACTTAAGGAAGCCGATCATTCTGAGGGTCCACTTTGAGACAAACCCATAGCGCCAAAACCCGTTGACTTGTGGTTCTACTAGCAGGGTCATAAAGGAGCATATAGGCCGTACTATACACCCTTTAAACCAAGTAGAACCACTTACCGAAATGGCCAATCGGGGCTGTGGCCCTTGACAGACACAAAGCGACGCCTCGCGAGGTCTCCCGCCTTGAGCCACTGGTAGGGCCCATCCACGGTCCCGCCCCTGCAGGTGCCAACACCTCCGCAGTTCAGCAGGTGCTGCACCGCCAGGTTGATGTCCACGCCCGCGCCCTGTCCTGGGCGCTCTTGGCACGTTTGAGTCGTAGCCCTGGTAACAATGAGTTAGCATACCGCATACGCATCCAATGGCATCAGTTAGACTTCATTTGGAGGTTGCCCAGGAAATGAGTCGGCCACAGTTTGGGTTCCATGTGCTAACTGGTTGTTACTCACTGGGATGTTGTGTTTTTCTGGGTCCCAAGTGAACATGTGTGAAGATATCAAAACGACTTTTGCGTCCCGGTGGCTTCCTTTCAAGCCATGATTTAGAGGGTAATATTGATCTGGTTTTTGGTTGTTGAATTTTCTCAGGGGAACCCTCTAGTGGACGTCAGACTTCGGTGGGGATTCATGTCCACCAACCGCGTGTGTTTGCTGGCTCCCCATTAAACTTCATAGCCAACCTGCATGAAGTTCTCCTTGTGATTGAGTGTACCACACATCGGTTGGGGCCGGGGACAGTTGAGAGGAGAAAACTTTGATGAAGTGGTTGGATGGTGTGGCTTTGGTTGTAAGGTGAAGTTGTTTGTTGTTTTGGATGTCAGTGTTTGAGACTTTGGGGAAAATCAACTTGCGTGATTATGTCGGACCCCTTTACTTGCGGATTGTGCTACACCTTTAGTATCTTCCGTTTGACTTCTCTAGCAGTCGTCGTTCTGAGTGTGTCTTGCGTTGAGCCGTTTTTGGGACGCCTTTGCTTGGTTTGTGTCCTGACCCGGTTCAAATTCCTTCGCACCACTCCTGCAACTACTCTACACTTCTGACAATCTCCCAAACCGAAAAGAAAAACAACAGCTCTGACATTGTTCAGATCCTATGCTTCAAGCGGCGGGCGATCTTGATGCGGTCGCCCAGAGCTGAAATTGCTCCATGGGCCCAGCAACTGCCGCAATACTGGGGGATGTGCTGGTTGCGGGACATGGTGCAGTAGTTCTTGCCATCCTCCCAACGGCCACCAGCCGAAATTGGCGGTTTGATGCCAGCTGATGTTAAAGGCCACAAACAAAAACAAAAGCTATAGAAGACGTTCCTGTAATGTGTGTTGTTTGCAGCACACAACACCACCGTACAAACAGAGCAACCACGCGGTAATGACAAGCCTTGACATATCAGACCTATTCAGCGCGCTTTCTGGCAAACTGTGGCAAGTTTTTGGAATTCCCTTTCATGTGCCCGCCTGACATGCTTGAGATTGCTGCGCAAATTCATGTTTCGTTGCCAGCATCCTTAGCCATCTCTCTCAAGGACTCTGCGAACTGCTTCGGGGGGCATGCGCTGTGCAAGCTCGGCCCTGAGCCATTCAAATTGTGCATCACGCACCACACCCCTCGCTTTGCGGGACGCCGGCCGCATCCAGTTTCGGATCAGCAGTGAGTTGGCGCAGTCGATGCGCTGCATGTGGCAGTTGGACAGACCGCATCTTCCAGCGAACTTCGTGGCTGCACCATGACAATTGAGAGTCACAGGTCGATGTCCAGGACAGGTCCTGAGCCTGAGCCTCCTCCCGTAAAACTGCGACGCCCGAGGACCGTGGCGCTACTTGCGCGGGGAAAACGTACGCCTGCTTTGGCGATCAGTTTCAGTGCGTCGAGTGTGTGACACGATGTAAATCTTATGTCCACGGCGCTTCATCCGCAGCGATTGCTCCTCGAGCACGGCGAGGGCTTGACGCAGATCACAGCAAAAGACGTGTCCCCCAAATGGCAATTCGCGCTGCAAGAGGGTACCCTCAAAACAAGGTGGACCCCAACTGTTGCCTTTTTCGTGCCTTCCCTTGAAGCCAACCTTAAACTTGCTGCTCAGCAGGGACTGAGGGAATGGCCCGAAATAAACCATCCAACTGGTGGCTTCCTCTAAGGGCCATTCCCTCATTCCCTGAGCACCAGCAAGTGAAACGTACTGAAAACCCCCCCACCTTGTCGCACCACGTGAACTCCGACGGCATCTCCACGTCTCCCAGCAGCTCGTGAGAGCTCTGCTCCGAGGCGTTGCCGCGCCAGACCACCCCCAGCTTCTCAGCCTCCTGAGTCGGGACCCGCGGGGAGTGGTGGATGGGTCGGTCGCCATGGGTAGAGGGACCCCAAAAGAACGATATAAACCAGGATAAAAGGTGGGCGTGTCTTTTTTGGAGGCTCGGTAGCTTGTTTGTTGTGGTTTCAAAGGGAAACTAAAAGGAAAACAACCATCTTGGGTGGGTTCTCTCATCTTTTTGAGGCTTGGCACCTAATTTTACACCCATGTGTCAAACTGGAGGGACCAAGAAAATGGTGTATTCCTTCGGGTTTCCATTTAAACCAAGGTGAAACACTTAAGGGAGCCCTTCGGATGGTCGATTTCCTTCGGTTTCCCTTTGACCCAAGAGGGCACCTTTAACACCGCACCCACATTGCCCTTCCTGGCCTGCATGGTTGATGTCAAAAGAAAACTAAAAGAACACCAACCTGGCTTTCCCCAAGTTTGACACACACACACTCTTGAACACACACCCTTGTACAGGGGGGGGGGGGTAAAAGGAAGGGTGGGGTGTATGGTGGGGTGGGGGATGGGGGGGGAGGGCTTGCGGAGGGAGGGCTGCGAATTAGATTCTAACTTTTCTAACGAAGTGGCAGCCGGGGTTCAAGCCAAGGTAGGGTTGTTTGGGGCCCAAGTTTCAATGAAATGGCTGTGGCAAAACCAGGGAACCATTCAAAAGGGAACCTTTTCAAGTACCCCCCCAAACTGCTTGCCAGGGTGAATGGGGTTGTACTTCAAACCAAATTAACTGATGATCATACCCGCCCTCCCCCATCCCTCCCCCCCTAAAATCACAAGATAATAGTGCACGCAATTATTGAGCCCCTCGTATTGACCAAATGTGCCATTTGAACTGCCTTGAAGGGAAACCCAAAGGAAACCGCAGCAGCCCCTATTTTTGCACCCAGGCAATATGGCAGGACCGTCTGCTTAAATGGCCAATGGGTTTTTTGGGCGCTGCTCATACCAGGAATTAGCCAATTTATATCACATGGCAGGACCCGAACGGAACATCTGCTCAAGAATGGCTTCGGGTTTCCTTTTGGCTTCCCTAAACCAAGCAACCTCACAGGAGCAACCTGATTTCGGTCACATTTAAGCCAAAACAATGCACGGGCCGCCTCGCGGGGCAGCAGCTCGGAGGTGCGGCGGGCGTCCTCTTGGGCGGCGGCCAGGAGACCAAATGCGGCGGCCTGGAGTTCTCGTCGGGCGTAGAGGGACCGGGACCTTAAAATGGCAGGCAGTTCTCTCCCTTGCTTTCCCTTCAAAGCAGCAAGCCTGCAAGCAACAGCAGGTGTTTTTAAGATAGCTGAAGTTCTGCGTCTTGAAGATAGGGCTCTTTTCGCGGGATGAACTCACAAAATGGATTTGTCGTTCGGTTTCCCGGTGGTCTCCCTTTGGGTTGCTCCAAAACACCCGCGTGCCGGAAGTCCAGCAACACCCGACCAAATGAAGAGGTTGATTCGTGATTCTTGTCAAGCGTTGCCATGTGCAAACTCCCGTCGGTTGCCCTGATATGTTGTTTGCCGGAAAGAAGGATTCCTGGAAAGAATGGGAAGTTACTCTTCTGCAGACCAATATGGAACCCAAAAAGCCATTTTGTTGAGGGGGAGATCCCTTCTTGGAAGACCCTTTGCGGTCCATGAGTCCATCATAATTTGCAGCGCAGTGCCCTAGAATGATATGCAGCCGTGTTCGGCCTTTCCCGCCACTCCCTGCCTTGAACAGCTTCATGCTTCGCAAGGACTGAGGGAGCAAGGCGAACTTGAGCCGATCTGCCGGAAAAAAAGGACACGTCCCACCTGGAATTCATTGGGAACGTTATCCCCCGGTTTGATTCATGAATTGCCATGGCTGGCAATGCTTGTGCGAAACCCTGAAGGCTCGTGTTTATTGCTGTGCTCAACCGCAACGGCTCTTTCTGCAACCTGGCGGACTTTTCTCGGACCACGAGAGTCAAACTCAGTGACTCATTGGTTTCATGACATGGAGAGACAGCCCGCAATATTCGCGTCGCATGTAAGCTCCAAGTCAGTTTATGCTTCAGCGCGTGCGTCAAAGGGGAAAGGGACCCAAAGATGTGGTCTTCCTTTTCCATTTGAACCAACTTGAAAAGGGTACTCTGCAAACAATACAATCCTTGTCATGGTTGGCCTAACCTAAGGATTCATATGATCAACCCCTACCCCAAGGACGTAGAACCAGCTTTAGACAGGTAGTAGTCTTCTCGGTTTCTCAGCTGTGTCTATCGCGAGGCGAAGGGGCAAGTCGATTTTGCAGGCCGCCATGAACCACTCTTCCAGCAAACATAACACCTAAAACTGGACCCATCGTTTTACAATTGTCAAAGTCACCCCTTGAGTCCGCAGTTGAGGAAAGGGAAGCACCCCCAGTTGCTGACTTTGACAACACCGCTGCTGTCAATTCGCAGCTGTCTCCACAAGGTCTCTGGGATGCCTAAATAGTTTACCCCCGTGCGGATTCACCTGGAACCCAAAACGCAACCATGGACGAAGCTCCCTTTTTGGGCCCACCCTTTTCGGGATCGGTGTTGATTTGGGGAGTAATGCGTGCCAGCAAACTACAAACAATATGCTCCCTTTTGCACTGGAAGAATTGCAATTCCCCATTCTGCTGGCAATTCTCCTGGAATCAACTGCCTGATTCTGCGAGAGGGTGACCAACCGGCCGGCCGCGCCGATTTTTCCCCGATGGCGAGCCAAGAATCCGCCAAGGGGAACGGCGAGCGAGCTCCCAAAATTGATAAATTTGTGGCACGGTCGCACATGTGCCATGGCCAAAACTCACACAGCGCACATTCGGCCGCACCGTCTAGTCGGCCATTGGTTTAGACCACCAGCTGCGCTGCCGGCTTGCAGTTGTCTCCACCCTCGTGGCAGTGGACCTGATGTGTTTTGCCGGAGCCCGAGCCCTCCGCCAAACAATCCCATGTTCTCCAATCAAAGGAAATGCTGATCCGTCGGAAGTAATCATGATTGGACTTTGTGGATGTCAGGTTCAACTTTTCCATCACGAGGAGCCCTGTGGATGCTCAACAATCGGTTGCCCTATGAAGCATGTCAGACGCTTGGCTGCACCGCAGCCGTAACTGTTTGAGCCCTTGGTTGAGCGAGGATCAAATTGTTTCCAGGTTCCAGGATGGGTCACATTTTGATGGCTCCCGGCTTCAAAGTATCTGCCGCACCATCCGATGTTCAAACATGATTGCCTGCGAACGCTGGCAGGCAATCATACCCAACCAGCTTCCTATGTGCTTGACAAAATTCGCTGCACCCTGCTTTGTCCCCCCTCATCACCTCATCCGCTTATCTCCTCATCCCCGTATCCCCTTACCCCCTCATCTGCGCATCCTTGCATCCCCTTATTGCCTGACTGGGTACGTGTCAAGCTCGGGATTTGGACGGAAACAAACTCCAAAGACACAAATCATAGGATCCCAATGCCCTCCCCTTTAACATCCCGGAACCCCTGGCTTCCTCAAAACAATCACACACGTACACTCTCACGCACACTCTCACGCACACGCCCACACACATGGTTAAATCCCAAGGGAGTCGAATGACCCAATTCGAGTAGAACATCAAACACATTTCGAGTTGGTTTGATTGACTGGGCTCGAACATACACACACACGTATATATATATATATATATATATATATATGTACATGCATATATACTGGGTACATCCTGTTTACGAGTTGCTTGCGGCTACAACTGTTACATTTTCGGAGGCCACAAAAGGGTTTCGGGGTAGTTGTGTTCGGTGCCGTTCCGCGTGGGCCCAGCCTATATCATATTAGTGTTGTTTGTTGGAAGTGGTGGTTGGCGTACGGTCAACTCTTAATCAGACTACACCGATATCTATGTACATAATGTTAAATGTAGGTGTTAAATATGTGTATATATAAATATGCGTGTATGTATATATATATATACATACATCCGCTTCACGTCACTGGGCTTGACATGCGAAAAAGGCGCCTGGTTGTCCTTCTCCTGCGCGGTGAAGGAGCCGGGCACCGCCCAGGAGCACTGCTCCTGAAACCGAAGTCAGCAGTTCGACGAGTTGAAACGAGCTTAAGTCGATACAGCATGTTCCTTTGAAGGGACATCTGTGACATCTGTTTCTGATCGTTCCCACCCATTGTTTTAGTGGACCAGAATAGAGTCCGGTTTTCCCCAAGTGACTTCTCTTGAAAAAACAACCAAACATCAACTTAGAAATTCGAAATCGAAGAAAAGGCTTGCCCGTAGGGGGAGGCGATCAATTGATACCAGGGTCTTGTTACAACGCTGGCACCCTGTCCTCCAACTTCAAGGCGCCCTTGGCCACGCGGAAGTAGCCCATCTCACCCCAGAACTCACCCCAGGAGTTACGCACGATCCAGTACCTCACACGCGCGTGCGCAGGCGCACATCTGGTGTCGGGTTTAGGGGTCCGCGCCGGCCGGCGAAGCTTACACGGTCCTGCACTTCCTTCGTTTGGCAGATTCAATCATCGTTTTTGGGGCCACGTTACAGTGAGCTTCGTCTTGGCGGGGCGATGTTTGCGGGGCTGAGAAGGACCCCTTGGGGTCCCCTTTTAGGGGTGCTTTGAAGGAACATCCAGGGGTTAATCACCCATGTTTGCGGTTTGTAGTGGAGACAAAACCATTTAGGAGTGTGCTTGCAGCTTCTAAGCTAGCAGCTAGGTGTTGAACAGGGGCTCTGCGCAAATTGAAGCATTACACATCTACTGTTGGGTCCCTAAACCAATCATATGGGAATTTAATCTCTGTGTGAAATGATCATGTCTTGCAAAGATGTGTTTCTGTGAGACTGTCTGAACGGCAGTCTAACCAAGCCACCCCCCTACATGAACTGCTGTCGTGGATTGGCCATTTGGGTTTTTGAGGAGAATCTTGGATTCATCAACCTCAGTCTATGAACAGAGGGTTGTTCCCCCTAAGCGCCGATTCCCCACGAAACCCAGAAACACCCCCCTAATCAGCTGGGGTCGACCTGGCTTCCCCCCGAAGGATGCCTGAGGGTTCCGATCCAAAAAGCCCCAAACGTTCCATGCAGGAGTTTTTCAACTCGAGCCACGAATGATCTACAGGTTAATATGGTGCCTTTCTTGCCCATGTTTGCGGTTTGAAAGGGCAATGCCACCTGCTCTAAATTGGGAAGTCTTCTGGAGGTTCAAAGAAAACCCGCAAGAAAAATGAGCCTCTTTGGGGGGAGCAAATCCCTTTTTGTTCACACAGACCCACTTTACGGAAACGTCTCTTGTTGCCCTAACGCGGCGCAGGCGCATGCCCTGCTTCTTGTCGGTGCCCCAGCCCACCACGGAGACCACATGGTCCACGGACTCGCCCTCGTCCGTCGTGATGCCTTGGCTTGAAAAGAAGGGCCTCACTGGAGGTTTGCGTGGATCTGAATCTTCTGGCTGCTTTGAAGCCTCAGATTTGCTCGGTTGCTCGTTTGCTTACCTTTTGTTGGCGGCCCACAATGGTCCAAGAACGGGCTTGGGACGGAAAACAGGGTCCCCTTTGCATCCGGGGGAATCACCCTCCCGTCCACATTGCCGAACCCACCAGAAGCCCCGCTTTTAAGCCAAGATCGTCTTCCAGGGACCCCGAGTCAGGTTCCATGTGGCTGGGGGGCATGACACAATCCAAACTCGATGGCTAAAAGGTTTCACCTTTTGTTGCTGCACAAACCATCCACTTCCCCAAAAGACTAAAGGCTAAAAAATCCAACCCGATAGCATTCATTTCGCTAATCCAACAAACTTGGGAACCAAACTGAGCATCCCAGCCGCCTGCAGAAGTCTACGATATTGATCACACCCAGGCATATAATCTGACTGGCATATTTGAGCTTTTTTTCTATAGGGTGCCTTAAAGGATACGTTTCAGTCAGCTGAAAGAAACTTGGAGGATATCCTTGTGGCACGGTTTTCGGATGTAGCCTTTAAGAATTGCTGATTAAAATCTGATATTGAAATGGTCTACCAAAAACCATGTAAAGAATCAAAAGGCGGGCGCACCTACCTCTGGTTGGGAGCGTCCCGCACCATTCCTCCAATTACCCAGGGTTTGATCATGGTTCAGGTGGTCTTGGTGGGCGTGCCCAATTTGAGGGTAGCCCTTTTGTGCCGGTTTAACAAGAAATTCACGGGAAATGAATCCCATGTATCCAATTTGAGGAGCCCTGTCTACGGTGGTTGAGCTTCTCACGCCGAGCGGCCCTGCTCATAGTTCAGCAAGGGCTGGGCATCCACACCGCAGCTGATGGGCCCCCGATGGAAGATCTCCTTCATCCTCAGGACAAAATACATCAACGGATCCGCCGGACAAATGCTTGGCCCACATATTTTCTTGTCATGATTCTTGTTACACAAATGAGCTTTGGACGAGATTATTATTCAGTCTAGCCGAAAATTCGCCCAAAAATAGAACAGTTTCGGTTTCGGCGGCCACATGATTGGTGCACCGAATTCTGCAAGCGTCTTCTGCGGCTTGCGAAGGACAACGTGAACCCAAGCCTCATGATCCCACTAAAAGGCGACTCCCCTTAAAAACACCCAAAAGGTGAATTGCAAAAGCATCAAAAGAGGAGATAGAAGGAAGCCAACCCTGGTAGATCAATTTTTCCGGTAAAAGCTATCCCAGAATCTCCGGCCAAACTTTGCGCACAAATTAGTTTCATTTACCTGCCTGAGCTGAAGGATACAGAAGCAAGAGACCCTCACCATGGGTAAGGCAGTTCTGACCCACATGGCCCATGTGATTAGCTCTTCCAGGAGTGGTGCCTCATTGAGTCTCGGGGAATGGACTGTGGCACCACCTAGTTCCTTGCCGACGATCACTCTTCTTTGTCATGTGAACCCTATATCAAGCATCAACCCCCTGGTTGGCATTCACGCACCGAACTTTGCGCAAGGAGCCCACAGCATCTGTTCGCCGGTCAAGGGGCAGCTCGCCCACCGCAAAGCAACCGCTCGTTCCAAGTCGTATTGTCCATTTCTCGTTCGAGGCGCAAACGCATGGCGATGTGTCCAATTCCCCAGGCATTCAGCAAACAACCCTGCACCCTCGTGATCCCAATAGATCGGGCCAAAACCAGACCAGTTGCAAATTCAGCCTTGTTGCTGGTTGCTGGAGAGATTATGAGCCCCAAACAGGCAGTCTGAGCGGTCAAAATATGACGTTTCCAAGGACCGCCGAGTGGCATGGCATCCGCGCCGCTGATGGACCCGTAGTCCGTGATGGTGGCGTTGGGATAGTCGGACAGGCCGGTGCAGGGGCCACCCTCCTGACGCGGCATCATGGGACCCATTGGCTGGTGTAAAGACACCCTGGGCCTCATCCCCCGAACAACCACGATTGCGCGCCAGAAGGGACATGAGCTTTTCTTTTTACTTCATGAACCTATCAACCTATAAATATGTTTTCTAGCTTTCACTTTCCTATCTTCATTGAGATCACTTGCCGGAACGATGTATCTTTATACGTCTTTCGGCATCCTATCCTTATGCGGCTTCCATCGGGTTGTCCCAATCTGTTTGGGCCAACAAACCAACAGGTGAAATGAGATTTGTCTTTGGGATTTACATTTAGAATTGATCTTTAGAATTTACCTTTAGGATTTGCCTTTAAGATTTATCCTTGGGATTTACCTTTAGGATTTACCTTTGGGATTTGTCTTTGGGATATACCTTTGGGATTTACCTTTAGGATTTGTCTTTTGGATTTGTCTTTAGGGTTTGTTTTTCTGCAACCAGTACTGGTACTGGTCGAGGGATGGATAATTTCGGCTGGTTCCTTCATTCCCTGGGTTTGTGTCAAAGGGGAGCCACTACGGGCCGTGTCCGATTGGCTTCGCTTTTAACACAGCCCCAAAAGGCGGCTTGCCCAAACCAAAAACACAAGCCCACCAAGAACCAGCAAAAAACCAGGCTGGGGGTTCTCAAAAGAAACCTGCCGCCCCCAAAAAAAACACACACACACACAAACACAAACACAAACACAAACACAAACACAAACACAAACACAAACACAAACACAAACACAAACACAAACACACACAGACACACACACAGACACACACACACACACACACACACACACACACACACACACACACACACACACACACACACACACACACACACAGCCGTCGCGTCGGTGCCTGGGAGAAGCTGCCGCAGGTGCGTGCCACGTTCACCGGCTTGCAGGAGGTGTCCACGTGGGGGCAGAAGCCCTCCGGTGTTGGGCGGGTCATTTTGCAGAGTTCCCCCCTCGAGTGCCCACACAGTCCAATTCAGTCGCCCTTTCTCTTTCCCCCTTTCAGCTGCCCCGCCCGCCTCGGAGGAGTCCGAGCTGCAGGCCACGTAGGGGTTGGAGGTCTCGTAGCTGATGCCCGTGCCCTTCTCCGAGATGCCCTCGGGGCGCGGGGAATCGGCTCCCAATTTGGGGGACCACCCCTACTCTGGGGAGTTCTGTCCGCCGACCCACGTGTCAAGGGGCGTCTGATTGAAATTCACGGGCATCTCTCTTCTTGGAAATTCAAGTGAAGCCACAAGGACACCCGAAGCAATTTTTCGGTTTGTAGCAACATCTTGACACGTACCTGCCTGATTTCAGGTGTTGAGTTGTCATGGACAACACTCCACGCCAGGCAGGCAGGTTCATCAACCATAGGGTTTCAACCATCGCACATGGTGCAGGAGTTCGTGCATCTTCCTCGCGGAATGGGCGGCGGGCTCCAAATTGTCCCATGTCCTTTTGACAGGCACAAATCTCAGCATCCAAAAACATGGCTGGCGTTGGTTGTGTCCCTTCAGAGCCACCGTTGGATTGGCCCAAAGGGTGACAGCAGCTTGAGTCATAACCCTAAATTTCCTGATGAGAAATGAGGGCACCAAATGTTCACGCCCTCCTGAGGAACAAAGAGTAGTGCCGCAGGTTTTATGTCTGCCCTGGTCAAAAGACCCTTTTACTTGCCCCAAAAGCACCGCCGAGCAATATCTTGGACCTTCCACCATGCTCGCTTTCAGCCCGGATCAGAGCCTCTTGACCGCAGCTTTTGCCCACTGAAAGTCGTGTTTGATTCTTGGGAAACCTTAAAATGAAAACGAATTTCAATAAGATCCCACTCAAAGGCTCGCAATCAACCTCACCATAGATCTTGAACCTCCTCAAATCGTTCATGAATGCAGCCTGGCTGGATTTCCCATGGTTGAGCCCCCTTAGTCTCTTAGTTAGTGGTTTCCCGTAATTGAGGCACAAGTAGTTCATTGACCAAATAAACTACCGGATATCAGCGGCTCATGTATCTGCAAGTTCTACAGTATTCCAAAACCGGAAATAGAACATGGATTTCCAGGTAAAGGAGCTACATCGCAGCTTTTCGCTCGTTTTAGTCCCGAATCGGTGGAACCGCTCACCACAAAAGAGGCAGATATGGTGTGTCTTTTTGGGGGATACCGTTTTGGTTGGTTGGAAGGGAAACTTAAGGAAGCCGATCATTCTGAGGGTCCACTTTGAGACAAACCCAGAGCGCCAAAACCCGTTGACTTGTGGTTCTACTAACAGGGTCATAACGGAGCATATAGGCCGTACTATACCCCCTTTTACACCAAGTAGAACCACTTACCGAAATTGCCAATCGGGGCTGTGGCCCTTGACAGACACAAAGCGACGCCTCGCGAGGTCTCCCGCCTTGAGCCACTGGTAGGGCCCATCCACGGTCCCGCCCCTGCAGCTGCCAACACCTCCGCAGTTCAGCAGGTGCTGCACCGCCAGGTTGATGTCCACGCCCGCGCCCTGTCCTGGGCGCTCTTGGCGCGTTTGAGTCGTAGCCCTGGTAACAATGAGTTAGCATACCGCATACGCATCCAATGGCATCAGTTAGACTTCATTTGGAGGTTACCCCGGAAATGAGTCGGTCACGGTATGGATTCCATGTGCTAACTGATTGTTACTCACTGGGATGTTCTGCGTTTTTCTGGATCCCAAGTGAACGTTTGCAGAGATATCAAAACAACTTTTGCGTCCCGGTGGTTTCCTTTCAAGCCATCATTTAGAGGGTAATGTTGATCTGGCTTTTGCTTGTTGGATTTTCTCAGGGGACCCTCCAGTGGACATCAGAATTCGGTGAGGCTTTATGTCTTCCAACCGCGTGTGTTTGGTGGCTCCCTGTCAAAATTCGTAGCCAACTTGCATAAAGCTGACCTTGTGATTGAGGGTGTGCCACACATCGAGACTTTGGGAAAATCAACTTGTGTGATTTTGTCCCCTTACTTGCGGCTTAGTTTTACACTTTTAGCTTCCTTTTCACGTCTTTGGCAGTTGTCGTTCTGAGTGTGCCTTGCGTTGACCCGTTTTTGAGACGCCTCTGCTTGGTTTGTCCCCTGACCCGGCTCAAACCCTTTCGCACCACTCCTTCAACTACTTTACACTTCTGATACACTCGCAAACTTAAAAGAAAGAAAACAACTCTGACATTTCTCAGATCCTTTGGTTCAAGCGGCGGGCGATCTTGATGCGGTCGCCCAGAGCTGAGATTGCTCCATGGGCCCAGCAACTGCCGCAATACTGGGGGATGTGCTGGTTGCGGGACATGGTGCAGTAGTTCTTGCCGTCCTCCCAACGGCCACCACCCGAAATTGGCGGTTTGATGCCAGCTGATGTTAAAGGCGACAAACAAAAAAACTATAGAAGACGTTCCTGTAATGTGTGTTGTTTGCAGCACACAACACAAACAGAGCAACCACGCGGTAATGACAAGCCTTGAACTATCAGACCTATTCAATGCGCGCTGTCTGGTAAACTGTGGCAAGTTTTTGGGCCTCCCATTCGTGTGCCCATCTGCTGAGATTGCAGCCCAAATTCATGTTTAATTGCCAGCCTCCGTGGCCATCTTTCTTAGCTTCAGGGGGCATGCGCTGTGCAAGCTCAGCCCTGAGCCATTCAAATTGCGCATCACGCACCACACCCCTCGTTTTGCGAGGGACGCCGGCCGCGACCAGTTTCGGATCAGCAGTGAGGTGGCGCAGTTCCAGCATGAGTTGCTCCAATTGATCCCCACTTCCGCAAAAGAGGAGGCTCCTCCAAGCGCATGTTGTCGATGGACAGACCACATCTTTCAGCGAGCTTCGTGGCTGCACCATGACCATTGAGAGGCAGGGGTCGATGTTCAGCAAGATGCGGACAGGTCCTGAGCCTGAGCCTCCTCCCGTAAAATGGCGACGCCCGAGAACCGACGCGCTACTCGCGCGGGGAAGACGTACGCGCTGCCTTGGAGATCAGTTTCAGTGCGTCGGGCGTGCGACGCGTTGTAAATCTTATGTCCACGGCGCTTCGTGCGCACCGATTGCTCCTCGAGCCCGGCGAGGACTTGACGCAGATCACGGCAAAACACGGGTCCCCGAAATGGCTATTCGCGCTGCAAGAGGGTACCCTCAAAACAAGGCGGACCCCAACTTTTGGCTTTTTGTGTAGCTTCCCTTGAAGCCAACCTTAAACTGGCTGCTCAGCAGGGACTGAGGGAACGGCCCGAAATACACCATCCAACTGGTAGCTTCCTCTAAGGGCCATTCCCTCATTCCCTGAGCACCAGCAAGTGAAACGTACCGAAAACCCCCCCCCCCACCTTGTCGCACCACGTGAACTCCGACGGCATCTCCACGTCTCCAAGCAGCTCGTGGGAGCTCTGCTCCGAGGCGTTGCCGCGCCAGACCACCCCCAGCTTCTCAGCCTCCTGAGTCGGGACCCGCGGGGAGTGGTGGATGGGTCGGTCGCCATGGGTAGAGGGACCCCAAAAGAACGATATAAACCAGGATAAAAGGTGGGCGTGTCTTTTTTGGAGGCTCGGTAGCTTGTTTGTTGTGGTTTCAAAGGGAAACTAAAAGGAAAACAACCATCTTGGGTGGGTTCTCTCATCTTTTTGAGGCTTGGCGCCTAATTTTACACCCATGTGTCAAACTGGAGGGACCAAGAAAATGGTGTGTTCCTTAGGATTTCCATTTAAACCAAGGTGAAACACCTAAGGGAGCCCTTCGGATGGTCGATTTCCTTCGGTTTCCCTTTGACCCAAGAGGGCACCTTTAACACCGCACCCACATCGCCCTTCCTGGCCTGCATGGTTGATGTTAAAAGAAAACCAAAAGAACACCAACCTGGCTTTCCCTAAGTTTGACACACACACACACACACACTCTTGAACACACACCCTTGTGCAGGGGGTGTATGGTGGGGTGGGGGATGGGGTGGGGAGGGCTTGCGGAGGGAGGGCTGCGAATTAGATTCTAACTTTTCTAACCCGAAGTGGCAGCCGGGGTTCAAGCCAAGGTAGGGTTGTTTGGGGCCCAAGTTTCAAAATGGCTGTGGCAAAACCAGGGAACCATTCAAAAGGGAACCTTTTCAAGTACCCCCCCCAAGCTGCTTGCCAGGGTTAATGGGGTTGTACTTCAAACCAAATTAACTCATGATCATACCCGCCCTCCCCCATCCCTCCCCCCCCCTAAAATCACAAGATAATAGTGCACGCAATCATTGAGCCCCTCGTATTGCCCAAATGTGCCATTTGAACTGGTTTGAAGGGGAACCCAAAGAAAACCGCAGCAGCCCCTATTTTTGCACCCAGGCAATATGGCAGGACCGTCTGCTTAAGTGGCCAATGGGTTTTTTGGGCGCTGCTCATACCAGGAATTAGCCAATTTATATCGCATGGCAGGACCCGAACGGAACATCTGCTCAAGAATGGCTTCGGTTTTCCTTTGGCATCCCTAAACCAAGCAACCTCACAGGAGCAACCTGATTTCGGTCACATTTAAGCCAAAACAATGCCGCACGCCTCGCGGGGCAGCAGCTCGGAGGCGCGGCGGGCTGAGCAGGTGAAAACGGCGGAGGGCAGCTTGGCCTCAGACGTCTAAACCCCTGGGGCCTAGGGGTGCCTGTTGGCTTCCATGAACAACAAAAAGGAGACATGTTAGGGACCATGAGTTTGAGAACCCTGAAGTGCGGGATGCGCGGGATGCGCGGGATGCGCGACCGGATCCGCGGAGAGCGCGGATCCGCTCGCTTTTCCATGCGGGTCAATAGATGGGGAACACCACCCGCATCTGGGAAACGCGGAAAGCTTTGGGATTCTGCAGGATTTTCGGGAGGTAAAGCCATCAGCGTGAGTCCGCTGGTCCACAAGGCGTCCAATGCCCGAGCGGCAGCGTCCTCCTTGGTGTAGCAGGCGCTGGGCACGGCCGATGCGTCGCACCAGGAGCACTTGGTGTCGGCCTGGCAGGGCTGTTGGTTTCCCTGAGGGTACGACTTGTGGGGGTCTGGTTTCCCTTTGGGACCCCGGTTCTTTGCCGAATAACCCGTTTGGTCTGACTCACTGACTCAGAACCAGCGTGCCTGGCAGTCCACCTTGGCGCTGTGGGCCGTGTGGCAGGCGTCCTCTTGGGCGGCGGCCAGGAGACCAAATGCGGCGGCCTGGAGTTCTCGTCGGGCATCGTAGAGGGAACCGGGACCCCAAAATGGCAGTTATCTCCCTTGCTTTCCCTTCAAAGCAGCAAGCCTGCAAGCAACAGCAGGTGTTTTTAAGATAGCTGGAGTTCTGCGTCTTGAAGATAGGGCTCTTTTCGCGGGATGAACTCACAAAATAGATTTGTCGTTCGGTTTCCCGGTGGTCTCCCTTTGGGTTGCTCCAAAACACCCGCGTGCCGGAAGTCCAGCAACACCCGACCAAATGAAGAGTCAGATGTGGAGTATGGGTATCGCAATAGGACGATAATTCTCGCGGTTGATTCGTGATTCTTGTCAAGCGTTGCCATGTGCAAACTCCCGTCGGTTGCCCTGATATGTTGTTTGCCGGAAAGAAGGATTCCTGGAAAGAATGGGAAGTTACTCTTCTGCAGACCAATATGGAACCCAAAAAGCCATTTTGTTGAGGGGGAGATCCCTTCTTGGAAGACCCTTTGGGGTCCATGAGTCCATCATAATTTGCAGCGGAGTGCCCTAGAATGATATGCAGCCGTGTTCGGCCTTTCCCGCCACTCCCTGCCTTGAACAGCTTCATGCTTCGCAAGGACTGAGGGAACAGCGAGGTGAACTTGAGCCGATCTGCCGAAGAGAAAGGACATGTCCCACTTGAAGTCGTTGGGAACGTTCTCCCCGGTTTGGTTTATGAACTGCCAAGGCTGGCATTGCTTGTTGTGCACAACCCTGAAGGCTCGTGTTTATGTGCTGTGCTCAACCGCAAGGGCTCTTTGTGTCCTGCAACCTGGCGGATTTTTCTCGGACCAAGCGTTCCTTTTACTCCTGGGTCGACATTGATCAAACGAAACACCCCGCATCACAACAGGGCGCAGCCCAGGATTAGGGAAGCTCCACGAGTGCCATAGTCAAACTCATGGTCATGCGGACAGCCCGCGGACAAGATTCGCGTCACCGCACGTCCCAAGCACCAGTCAGCTGTTTACACTTTGTCCAGCTGGGCGTGCGTCAAAAAAGGGGAAGCGACCCAAAGATGTGGTGTGCCTTTTCATGTCCCTTTTAACCAACTTGAAAAGGGTACCGGCAGATACAATCCTTATCATGGTTGTCATAAATATCCTAAGGGTTCATAAGATAAATCCCTGCCCAAAGGAAGTCGAGAGGTATTTTCTTGGAGGCTATTGCCCTCTGCAAAACTGCTAGTTTCTGTTTACTGGAAAGTACACCTTTCCCCCAAAAAGTTGAAGGTCAAAAGATGAAAGATCCCACCAAAGAGCAGCCGGGGTTGGGTTCCTTCTTTTGCAATCGCTCTTTCACCCTGTCTTGACCCTGGCACGTCTGTGCCACCTGTCCGTCCATAGCCTATGCCTGACTCGCCATGGCTCCCCGCCGCAGAGCAGCCGCAAATCCGCGCCACGTGCTTCTCGAACTGCTTCACCTCAAGCGGTCCCCCTGCCGATGCACGTGATTTGCCGTGAAAAGGGGAGGGGGGTTCCGGATCCCGAAGACATACTGGTTTCAACATCTGCGAAGTGGCCCACCCAAAACCCACAAAGAATCAAAAGGGCAGGTATCCGTATCCCCTACTACTCTTCATTGACCCGAGTCTTGCTCGTGAACGCATTTGCCCAGAAATACTGGGGGGAGGGGTCCTACTGGGTCGTTCAAAGTAGGGTATCGATGGATCCCGATTCTCCAAATTCACTGTGCCTTGGACACCACAACACGAGCTCCCCATGACTGGTAACTACTCAAGGGGCCGAAATGATTGGAAAGGGTTTGTGAGGAGCTTCAAAACCAAGTTCAGTCACCGCCCCTTGTATGACTTTTTGCCTATATGGGAGGAAGCGCCCCATCCTCTGAGGAGTCAACCCGAGAAATGACTTCCCTTTTTTGCTGCTCTCCCCTTTTTCCCTTGTGGCGCAAAGGGCAAAACTCCCATGCTGGAGTGCGATACCCAATCAAGACAACCTGTTCTGGCAAAACACGTGCTTTATGCACCAAATTACGTGACTTCACACACGCACACCCACACGCACACGAATTGCATGCTTACAGTAGATATGGGGTCCACAATAAAAGTGCCTGCGCGTGTCTTAAAATGGAGACTGCCAACGGTGAGTGCCAACAATTATTGAGGGCTGTCCCTGTAAAAATATCATGGGCTCACCAAATGGGATGTGGCACCTGGGCTTGCCCCAGTGGGTTTGCTTCTTACATGTCTGGCGCTTCGTCCGCCTTAGGCCCCCCCCCCTCTCGGCCCCTTGGGCCCCCCTCGTATGGGCCCTCCACGCCTCGGAGAAGAGGTCCGACGCAAACCCAACGCCACAGGTTCGAAGTTTGATCCCGAAAGGACTTACTTTGCTGTACTTTGGCCGCTTTGCCATGAACTCATGTTTGCTGTCGCCTGATTGGAAACGAAGACAGCAAATTCAGAAGGCTCCTTCCTTTGGACTTCAGAAGGATCTGGCTCTTGCTGGGGTCATCATTTTGACAGTTTATGGGGATTCAAAGTCAAGTCAGAAACGCCTAACCTACCACTCAGGAAGTACCCCTGTGTTTCTCGTTTTCACTCTTGGATCTTGCGCGAATGATGCGGCATGTGTCAAGGAGTTGAAGCTTTTGAATCAGGACATGTCAATTACCAAGATGAGATCAAGCATCTGGAGGTCCTAGGTGTGACACATGCCAAATCCAGATCTGCGACATGAACAATGAGCCTGGACTTTACACGACTCAAGGGATCGTGGGCTAGGGTGTAGCTGCTGCGCACCTGGGGTCAGGGTCAGTCCTTGTTCGGAAATGTTTAAACAGATCTCGTTTGGACAACCACCTTTCGGTGTCGCTTTTAGAAGGGGGCCGAAACGGTTTTGGTTGTCACAAATGGTGAACCGCATATGGCCCTCATGAGAATTTGTCCCTCTTCTTTGTGGGGGGGGGGGCTGGGGCAGACCTCCTGTTCAGCACCACTACCGCCACCGGCGCTACCACAGCCACCGGCGCTACCACCGCCACCCGCGCCACCACCGCCAGCATCGCCACAGCACACCGTTTCGTGGGACGACTAAACTCAATCGCATAGGGCTGCTCAGGGTGCGTGGCTTCTCAGGGTGCGTGGTTAGGTCCATAGGTCCACAAGTACAGCAGTTCCATCCGGAAGGCGCACCTAGGTTGGTCTATTCAAAACATGCCCTAACCGTTCGCATGTAGTGACTGGCATTCTCCGAGCAACTTTCAGGCGGTGATGTTCAACCATGTGGCCAGAAACAGAACCTATGCCAGCCTGCCATCGCTGTTTGACCTGCTTGGTGCTGTACCTCTCAGGTGCTTGCAGCGACCTTGACGGGAGATGGATGATCTACACTTCCACCAGGCATTTCACACCCATTTTGGAAGAAAGTTCACAACTCGGTAGGCTCTCCTTTTCGCTGCGACCACACTGCGCTCCTCATTCACCGATCGGGGTTTGGCACATCATGCACATCTGTCGCAAATGGACAGACCACCAACATACAAACGTCAATGCCGCCGAATGCTTTCACTGCAGTTGGTGTTTGGCCAACACGAGGGATTCCCCGAAAAAGGATACGCCCATGTCGAGGTCTGGCTGCTAATTTTAGCTCTCCACGGAGGTACGTGAGTAGAGAACCCCGAGAATTCGGTGAGAGACGATCTCGAGATCACTGCGAGGCTCAGATTGAAATTGCGAAGGGCTTTTGTTCAAGCCTGCGAAGGCCGGCCTACGGAATCCAACTGGGTCGACAACATCTTGCGTTGGGATCAAAAATGCATTGTGTGTGTCTTTTGTTAAGGGTACGGGTACCTTGTTTTGTGGTTTTGAAGGGAAACCAAAAGGAAAACCGCAGTGTTGGGGGGTCCCTTTTAAAACATCAACCACAATGGAAAAGCATCGCCGGGTCCACAATTGGAGCGAGCAGCACAAAGACATTCCTGTATGCAACTTACTCTGATTCCTGATAACGTCAACCCCGAATGAATTAACCTGACCGATCAATACAATAAGGGGTGTCTACCAAAAAAGTGAAGGAGCCCCGTTAAATGGGACACCCCATTCCAGTAGACCAGGGGGTTAATTCCGTGGTCCTAGTGCCACAAGCCATTCTTCATCAGGTGAAGGGCAAGGACAATGAAGCCGAAATCGGGAATCTACAGAAATGTCGTCACCAAGCAGACTTGCAGGACACGAAGTGCACCAGGACAAAGCAAGAATGCGATGATGAAACAACCAAAGACCACTACCCCCGCAAGATGATTGACAATAATTCGAGGCAGGATCTATCGCATTCTCGTCCTGAGCAAGTGTGCCAAGAGACAAAATGCAAACAGCCCGCGAAACAGCCCATTCACGAGAAATCCCTGCAGTAGATGCTAACACCGGCCTCGTACAAAGCTACCGGCCTGGTAAACAAGTTTTGTCCCCTACCAAAAATCGTGTCTTTGATTGTGTTCCGCAGTTAGCCAACCTTGGACATGATGATGTAAAAACAATGAAGCTTGGAATGTAAACTTACAATATGTCGTGAACCTTGGACAGTAGCTCAGACCCCCAATGGCCATGCAAAAACAAGGGGCACTCCTTTCTTGCTAGTTTTTTTCCAGGAAACCCCCTTCAAAATTTAATCACTGGAGGTACCCCTTCTCACATACTCCTTGCGTCAAATAAATGACCCCAAAAGGCTTGTTGTTCTGCATACCCCTCAAAGGAATATGTTCGCATGAGAAAGTCGTTTGGCAACCAGGGCACCAAGGAGGTAATGAACAAGGGTGTGTACTTGGGGGTTGATTGGCCCCCAATGACCGTGAAAGTCATTATTGTTTGGTGGTTTCCCTAATGGTCACCCCATTTAAGGGACCTTTCATCAACCCCCGCTTAGACTCTTCCGAGATTCCGTCGGCCTCCTCGTATTCTTCTGCCGACGTCCGATTTCCGCCACTTGGGCCCAGCTCCGCTGAGCGCAAACTCTTCGGGCAGATTGAGAGGCAGACCGTCATCCAGGTGATATGAGATATCAGTTCAACAGGTTTTCCCTTTACCATGCAGAAAGTAGGATCCCCTAGTTTGACAAGGGTCCGTTGCGTTATCCACCTGACTCAAAATGGTCATGCTTGCTTGTGGGTCCGGAAAAGGCAATGTTTCCGAAGGCCTCAACGTTCTGCTTCCTGTAAGGAAAACAGCATGAGGAAATCGAAGATGCCAGTCATTTTGGAAGGATTAGTTTAGCCAAACGTAGGGCCAGGGTCCCGTGCCTGCCTCTGGCGAATACCCGGAAATAAATGCGATCCAGGGCTGCCAGTCTGCTCCAAGCCACGCTTCAAGGTGCCATTCCAATGCAAGGCGCATTGTTCTAGAATGAAGGACCTCATGATTGATATGCATCAGCCATCTTTGTACCACTGATTAAAATGTGAGTTTGGTGACATCCGTGGACCTACGTGGGGGTCTCATCAAGGTGGACCCCCTTTTGGTTGGTATTTGAGGCAAACAGAAGTAAACCCACAGACAAGCTCGGCAATTTCAGGGCTTCTGGCCTGATGTGTTCTCATCTGGATGGCGGATGCCCGCGCACAAGAAGGTATTGTCACTGCGCAGACAAAGCCATGCCGGTCATCGAGTCAAGGCAAATCCAATCCGTGAGTTCCAAAGCGATGCCCTTCCAACGCAAACGGGACATACATAGGGGCATGAGTGTTATTAGGGACCCATTGGTGGACATCCTTTTACACGGAGGTTCCCTTTTAAAATTCACGTCCAAGTATGCTGTGAGAAAGCCATTCGCTCATCCTCCAAAGTGATCAGGACTCTGCTTCTCCACGCTCTGATGGAAACAGGTTTCAGCTTACCACTGATTGGTGGCTTGGGTTGGTCAGGGGGTGGTTTCACATTTACCCTCTGAAAAGAAGCGCGGGTTCAAATCTCCAAAACACAAATCCAAACTGCCAACTGCGGGTTATCTGAAGGTTCTTCCCCTCGTTGAAAAACGCAGGCCCCCTCCCCAACGATGTCCGTTCTTTTCAAAATAGGGGACCCTAAAATGGCTTGTTTCCATTGGTTTCCCTTTTACCAGCAACCTAAAAGAAGTCCACCATTTTTGAGACCCCCCCCCCCCTGTCTGTCGGACAGCTTCGACTTCAGCCTTTGATTGCCCCTGGGAAACTCAGGATCCTCCTCACGTCCAGGAAAGGGCAGGAACAAGCCAAAACTTAGACTACCGTGCAGCATCGGAATTTGTATGCCGCCTTCGTATTGCTTCAATCGCTGGCAATTGTCTCTTTTCTTCCATAGAAGAAGTCAAAAAGGCTAGGTTGGACAAAGGATGGTCATACAAACTATCATCTGAGAGTCGGCCGCAACTGTGGATTCCCTGAGTATTGCAAGTGAACCAACCACACCCAACAAAACCCCGATAAACAACCGTGATAGGGCTTCCCTTTTGCACCTTGAAATATTCACGAAAGCGGGAGCATAGCATCGGGAAACATCAAGGTAGTTGGCTCATGCGTGCCTCGGGCAAGGCCACAAAACAAATACAAAAAGGCTGTCCCTGTCTGCTGGCAGACCCACTAGGGGGATCCCAAAACTGTTTTTTTCCGTTTGATCTCCTCTTGAACAAACCAACAGAAAGAGCAGCCTCAAAAAGTCACATTCATTCTGTGGACGGCAACATCCACCAGTTGGTAGCGTATCCCAGTATTCATTTCATGTTCATCCGTCCAGATTGCCAGTGCATGTTGTCCGACCCCTTGGCTTCAAAGACCGGCATTCAGGCCCCGAGGGCCACAGAGATTCAGGCAATGTCTGAGTGCAAGGGACTTGCAAGCAAGCCATGATCGACCCCTTGGTCAGTGGTTGGTTCTTTCCACTTGGCTCTTGAAACAGCCCTTGGTTCAGTTTTGGTTCGTTTTGGTTCCCCTTCCGCTTTCAACCCGTGGTTCTTGGTCGACATTGATTTCTCTCCCTATGCCCTGTCAATCCTTTGGGTTGGTTTCCTCTTGGGTCCCCTCGATGTTGCATCTACAAGTGGCGGATGAATGGTGGGCGAGTAGGGTGCGCACCTTGTAGCTTTAACTCTGTCGGATGTGTGACGTGGTGTGATTTGCTTGTACGATGTCTGCATGCTTGGGGTTCTGTCCTTAGTATTGCAAAAGGCTTGTCACACTGTCTGGAACAGTCCAACACACGTACGCCCCGCATAGATTGCTTTGGAGACGGGGATATGGCCGAGCTCACATATGTTTTCTCTTTTGGTTCTGCTGATCCTGCTGCAGGGAAACAAGAGCCCAGACTTGGGTTTGAATGGTTCATTCCAACCTCTTCGGGGAGGCGGGGGGGTCCTACTGTGGATGGACGAAATCCTGCACCACCTAAGAAACCCTGGAATGCTGATTCCCCTGTAAATACCAACCAACCATGGTTTCCCATGGTTTCCAAGTGGTGCAGGATTTCGTCCATCCACTGTATTGCCTCTCTAGGCGAGGAAAATGCCACCAGCCTCGAGACTTGGCAAAAGCATTAGGTCACTAGATTGGGGCAACTGATCGGGACATTGGCATAAAGGAACATGATAAAGCAATTAGAGTTTGTTCCCGTTTGCCGCCGAAGGCAAGCAAGCCCCGCGGTCGCAAGCACGCGCTCGCAACCCGAGTGCAAGAACTCTCAATGGCGCTTCAGGCAAGAGCCAGGATTCTTACGGAGCTGATCTGCGGCTCCTGTGCGAGACAGCACTTCTCAGGATCGCGCAAACTCCGGGCTTTGGCCAACCCTTGGGCTTTAAGCCAACAACCCTTGGTGTTTTCCAAATGGGAACTGGTTTCGCTCACAAATGTTGGACAGAGGTTTGCTTCTTCTCAGGCGAAAATCACAGTCACCCCTTCCCACGCGTGCTCTGAAGTTTCCGACTGACATGGTTGGGACCCGTGGAACTAACTGGGCATGTGTCAAAGTAGGGGACCCAGAAACATTGGCGGTTTCCTTGTGGCTTGCCTTTACACCGTGAAAACGGGAACCCTCAAGAAGACACACACACACACACCCACCTGGGAACGCTCAAGCTTTCTTTTGCCCGCTCCGGCTTGCGAAAGGATCCGTTCGGAGGAATGATGTGAAGCTGCTGGGCAGCTTGCGAGGAATGATCCTAAGGTGGAAAACATTGTCTCCTTTTTGATTCTTTAATTAGCTACAGATCACCCCCAGGAAGGTTCATAGAGGTTGACCCGAAAGCGATGTTTACTCAAAGGGACATATAGTTGTGGGTCAAAAATAGGTAGCCCTAATGGAACCTTGGTACATGGAACCAACGACTAAAACCTGCGGTTGCCTGGTGGTTTAATTTTGACTCATACCCATATCTATGGACCCCTTCAGAATGATTATCTGGCTTGCAGCCAGTGGGTTGTTGATGGCGCCCAGTCACCGGAGCCGCTGACTCAGGCTCCGTCAGATGAAAGCCGTGCCAAACAAGACGGAAAATCTAGCGCTAGGCTGTGAAGTCTTGCTAAGCAAATCTGCGGAATGTTTGAAACCCTACCATTACATGTGGAGGTGCCTTTGAGAATCTTTGGTGGTGGAAAGGGAAGCCAAAAGGAAATCCTGGCTCCCCCTACATTATGCGATTCAAAAGATCTAGACCTAGGAGACAAACGGTTGTCAAGCAACTGCTAAGAATGGCTCGTTTCTTCCAGATGGTCAAGCTGGCAGCCAGGCTTCCAGAATGCGCCACAAGAAGACGCTCTAGCCACTGTAATTGGTCAAGTGGGAATGAATGCCGCGCACTTCGACAGCAATGACGAGACGACCTTCCACAAAATCTTCGGCGAGTACTGTTGGGTTTTCCGCATTTTGTGGCATGGAATTCCTCCCGCGATGCATGTCTTCCGCAGTTGGAACCAATCTTAGACCTAAAAGTTCATGCTTTTATTTGTTTGATTCACTTACCCAGAAACAGAACTGAAACACTCGGGCGCCCATCAGCGGGTGCTTGGCCCGGATCCACGGATCTTCCGCCCATTTTGTGAACGCGGGATCAAAAGCAGCTGGCCATGGTCAAGCGGAAAGACGTGTTGAAGCTCGCGTCGCAAGAGACTAGGGTCGGACATAATCCAGTGGTACCGAGTTGAAGGCGTCCCTATGACGATTGTGCTACTTGTAGAACAGCCCCTGTGCAGAAAGGGGTTATTCGACCCATTGACCCTCCTCCCAAAAAAGATTACATATGCCACACCCCGGCAGCCAGACGGTGCCATTTCTCGTGGTCCCCGCTAGAACAAGTGCTTCGGGAGAGCACAAAACATGCGCTCTGGCATCCAAGCTGCTGATTCATCACAAGAAAGTTACCCCCGCGAAAATGGGGGGAACCAGCTCCAAGAGGGCTACACTTTCGCTTTGCAAAAGGGGGGCAAAGGCAAACCCTGCGAGACGGGCTGAAGACCACTCGCAAGACCAATCGAACGGCTGGTAGGTTCTGGTATATGTTGGAAGTGAACCAACGGCTTTGTGACAAGGCTTTGTTGGAGCACGGCTCATCTGCAAATTCGTTACACAAGCGGGGACGGTCAAGGGAGCTTCCTGGGCACCCTTGCACCATCCGGCAAACTCTGTCTAGCCCCCTCCGACACAGAGGCGCCTCTCAGATGTCAGCCTCGCGTTGCGGAGCACCCAGCGGCGAACCGCACGTTGCGCTGCTTGTTTCACCTTGATTTTCGGAACTGCCAGAGGGCTCCTTGTGTTCCATAGGGAAATGCCAGGGAAACTCACTTGGTGTTTCTTGTTTTGCTAGCTGGGGTTTGTTTAAAGGGAAACCAGCAGGAAAACCACTAGTTTGGGAGTCCCCGATTTTGACCCACCACACTTGAACTCAGTGAACAAGTTGATGCCCAAATGGCCTTAGGGAAGTAGCCAGAAACCCCGTGCCACTGGCCTGACCTGACTCCCGGTATGCATCAAGGGCCAGACCCACGGTTCCCTCCAAAAACAGGAAACATTGCATTTGCCAACCTGAATTTTGAGACCGGATGCTGTACAAAGGCCTCTGACTGAAACCTGAGGTGCCGGAAGGCTCACAATGGTTGGTGTTCAGTTGTGGTGTCCCGTCAAAAACCACTAAAAAAAATGTCCCTCGACAAAAACATATATATATATATATACATATTCACGAAGCGAGGCATCAAAGAATTCTGGGGCTTTGGCTGTCACTGAATGGTTTGTTCCCGTCAGCGTCAAGGTTTGATGCCTATGTAAATTTTGCTAGCTGGCACGGGTGTCCTTCAAAGAGAGATGGTCATGATAGTTGTTGTCGACGTCAATGTGCCAGGTATTGTACATGCTATGTCAGGCGGAAAAAAAAGTGAACATGATCGCAAGAATGACGGACTTCGTACTATGATGCCGTTAGCTTAGCAAAGTCATGACGACATGGGTTTATTTCAAAATAGGACACCCACGAAATGTGTCGTTTCATGCCGTTTCTCTTGCTGCCCTTAAGACAAGCCAGGTTCCCAAGCTAAGGCATTGATTTTGTCATGTTCGTTCTTTGTGCGCACAGAACGGCACCGCAGCAACGTAGCACTGTATTCATTAGTGGGCAAGGCCTGAAGCGCAGTGGAACCAACCACCCTGGTGAAGGCCCATGTCGGCCCCCATCACGCCGCTGCCGTGGATGTTGCTCAATGCCCCAGCATCCCCACTCCAATCATGTTTGGTGCGGTTTGCAAAGGCCGGTCAATATTCATGATGCATTCCTATTCCTTGGGTGCACCTCTCTAGTGTAACCTGGCACACTGCTAGAATTCGCAGCCTGATGTAAAAGGTTCTAGTATATAACGAATTTTGATCGTAGATCTCCTTTTCTGAGCCCGCTTTTGGTGGCACGGGGTTTCCCGCGGGCTCATGCGCGTCACTGGATGTCTCCCGAATCAAGTTGAATCGACCACCAAACGGTGCCGTGGATTCCCCAAGTGAGAACACTCTCTCTCTCTCCCTGTCTCTATCCCTCTCTCTCTCTCTCTCCCTCTCCCTCCCTCTGCCTGGCCAGCTGCCGGTTGTTAAAGTCACTCCTCCAAACGCACGTCATATACAATGAGCGCGTGGCGGTGGCATAATATCCATTAAATTTGGCTGCACTATGCCAAATAACCTCTTTTTGCTGTGTCCACAGCGCTCGGCTTGAGCAGGACACCAGGAACCAGAACATACTACAGCCCTACAGGCGATGCCTTGAATGTGAGGACGTCAAACTTTGCACGCCACCTAGCACAGAGCAACGCTGACGGATGCACCTCAGACACCCTACGCACTCCTTACTCTCAGCGCAGGCTTACACATCCGTTGCAGAGCAATGTGCCCTGCAATCACTTGCCAACAGCCCTGACAGCCGCCAGCAAGTAAATTTAGTAAATCCTCCACAGGACTCCGCACCGTCCATCGTAAAGCACCACAAAGGCCAAGCCACCTGATGGATGTGAAAGCAACCCAATCATCAGTCTGAGCAACTCAGCAGGAAGACCCATCTTGATGACAGAGACGCACCCTGCATCCGGCCACCCAGCAAGAACGCAGGCGTTGGCCCAAGCTTGCCACACAACGAGTCAGGCCGACAAGACGGGATGGAGGTTTGTTCCTAGGAAGACTTGTGATTTACGATTCTACATCGGCAGGTTCTGATGCCGCAGCACGTGTGGAGGGCATTGAGCATGCTGGACTTGCCGGCAAGACTGGTGGGCTGCGTGGTGCCAATCACGCAGTTGTGGCAATCTCTTTCACCGGCGAGGTAGCCCAGACTGGACACTATCCATATTGTCCCGCCAAGTCTTTGAGCATCCGCACCACTACCGCCGTGCAGGCATCAAAAACGCGCGTGTGACCTCACTCTGCCGAATGACATCTGTGCCATGGTCAAAACTCCTTTTCTCCGTTTCGGACCATCCTGACTCACAGGCAGCGCTGCGGCGTCCTCTGCAAAGAATAACAGGCGGGGCAACCAAAAGTTCGCGGGCAGATTAGCTGCGCAGCCGGATCTGCCCCAGCCACCGGCGCATTGATGGGATATTGCGAAACTCCGCAAGGCAAGCTCAAATGCTCGCTGTCTGCGACAGCTACTGGCGGCTGTGCGGTAGCCTTGGCCCGAATGCCAGCCAGTCCAACCACATGTCCTCGCTGCTGCACATGAAAGGCTCTGCGCCATCATCCAGTTCTTGTTGCCGATCACAAGTCTTGAAGCCAGCTTCACAGGGAAGCGCTGGACCAAAGGCAAGTTCACGAAACCTCCTGGAATGCCTGCCAGAATGGCACACCGTACCATAAAGCGAGCTGATTTCGCATCAGGGGGTTCGAGGTTCACAAATGGCTGCATCCCACCCATTCCTGAGCAAACACCAGCCGTCCAGCAAGTGCAGCACCACAGCCCAACGCACCCAAACCCGCACAGCTGTCCACCACCTAGCGAATTGTTGCGCAATTAAAACACACGCGCTCCATGCGTTCCAGGACCAGACGCGACCCTACCTCCACGCGCATCGGGAGGAGCGCCCCTTGTGCCGCCAGTGATACCGAGTCCTGATTTCTGTCTGTGTCTGTGTGTGTGTGTGTCCGTGTGTCTCTGTGCCCATGTGTCTGCGTGTTGGTGTGTCTGCGTGTCCCTGTGTCCATGTGTTCGTGTGTTCGTGTGTCCATGTGTTTGTGTGTGTGTGTGTGTCTGTGCGTGCAACTGTATGCGTGTGTGTTTGTGTGTGGGGCTGTGTCTGTGCGCGACTCTGTGCTCATATGTCCGTGTCTCTGTGTGTGTGTGTGCGTGTCCATGTGTCCGTTTGTTCGTGTCTCCGTGTGTGTGTGTGTGTGTCTGTTTGTCTGCGTGTCTGCGTGTCTGCGTGTCTGCGTGTCTGCGTGTCTGCGTGTCTGTGTGTGTGTGTGTGTGTGTGTGTGTGTGTGTGTGTGTGTGTGTGTGTGTGTGTGTGTGTGTGTGTGTGTGTGTGTGTGTGTGTGTGTGTGTGTGTGTGTGTGTGTGTGTGTGTGTGTGTGTGTGTGTGTGTGTGTGTGTGTGTGTGTGTGTGTGTGTGTGTGTGTGTGTGTGTGTGTGTGTGTGTGTGTGTGTGTGTGTGTGTGTGTGTGTGTGTGTGTGTGTGTGTGTGTGTGTGTGTGTGTGTGTGTGTGTGTGTGTGTGTGTGTGTGTGTGTGTGTGTGTGTGTGTGTGTGTGTGTGTGTGTGTGTGTGTGTGTGTGTGTGTGTGTGTGTGCGTGCGTGCGTGCGTGCGTGCGTGCGTGCGTGCGTGCGTGCGTGCGTGCGTGCGTGCGTGCGTGCGTGCGTGCGTGGTGCGTGCGTGCGTGCGTGCGTGCGTGCGTGCGTGCGTGCGTGCGTGCGTGCGTGCGTGCGTGCGTGCGTGCGTGCGTGCGTGCGTGCGTGCGTGCGTGCGTGCGTGCGTGCGTGCGTGCGTGCGTGCGTGCGTGCGTGCGTGCGTGCGTGCGTGCGTGCGTGCGTGCGTGCGTGCGTGCGTGCGTGCGTGCGTGTGTGTGTGTGTGGTGTGTGTGTGTGTGTGTGTGTGTGTGTGTGTGTGTGTGTGTGTGTGTGTGTGTGTGTGTGTGTGTGTGTGTGTGTGTGTGTGTGTGTGTGTGTGTGTGTGTGTGTGTGTGTGTGTGTGTGTGTGTGTGTGTGTGTGTGTGTGTGTGTGTGTGTGTGTGTGTGTGTGTGTGTGTGTGTGTGTGTGTGTGTGTGTGTGTGTGTGTGTGTGTGTGTGTGTGTGTGTGTGTGTGTGTGTGTGTGTGTGTGTGTGTGTGTGTGTGTGTGTGTGTGTGTGTGTGTGTGTGTGTGTGTGTCTGTGAGTCTGTCGTGTGTGCGTGTGTGTGCGTGTCTCTGTGCTTATGTGTTCGTGTGGCCCTGTGTCTGTGTGTGTGTGTGCGTCTGCATGTCTGTTGTGTATGTGTATGGTGTGTCTATGTGTCTGTTGTGTGTCCCCGTGCCCATGTGTCTGTGTGTGTTTGTGTGTCTGTGTGTCTGTGTGTCTGTGTGTCTGTGTGTCTGTGTGTGTGTGCGTCTGTGTCTGTGTCTGTGTCTGTATGTCTGTGTGTGTGTGCGTGTCTGTGTGTCTCTGTGCCCATGTGTCTGTGTGCTGGTGTGTCTGTATGTCTGTGTGTGTGTGCGTGTCTGTGTGTGTCTGTGTCTTTGTCTTTGTCTGTGTGCGTCACAAGCTAGAAAGCATGGATTGTGGCTTCCTTGTGTGATCAAACTGCCCTGCCATATTGTTGCCACTATAATAGCTGATAGCTTCGTAAAATACTTTTTGCTGCAATGTAGTAGACCTCACTGTGGAGAGAATTTGGTGTGGTGTGTCCATCTCACAATGGCCACACAAAATTGAGTACATCGCCCGGATCGATGTGGACCCCGACTGACATGCAAACAAGCCAAGTGAATCGTCCTGCAACCAGGGCTCTTGCAGGACCTGGCGGGCAACAGGGTTCAAACTAAAATGGGAATGCGACACCTCCAAATGGCGGCGGTTTGGTTTGTTGAAACCATACCCACAAAACATACATGTCGCCCGCAAGGCCTTATTATGCCGTATGATCGTGCTGGCAGGTTTAGGGTTCTGTTGGGGTTCAGGTTTAGGGTTTTTAGGGCTCAGTTTTGGGTTTTCAGGGTCTTTAAGGGTTTTTTAGGGCTTACGTTTGGGGTGTTTAGGGCTTACGTTTAGGGTTTTAGGGTGTAGGTTTAGGTTTGCTTGGAGCTGGCTGTCCCGCGCATCCGAGGCTGGCTTTTCTGGTTTAGGTTTAGGGTTGCGTTGATAGCAGCATCTTACCGGGAAAAGTCCTTTGCGCTCCATGAAGGGGGTACGGACCGTACGGACCGTACGGACCGTATGGAGCATGGAGCTGGGCCCGGGGGCTCGGAAGTGCGTTGCCGCGCCTGCCACGCTTGGAGGTCTCGGGGGCCCGCTTCCGGGCGGTCGCGGGCAACAGGTACGTCTTGGCCGAAACCACAGTCAAAAGGGTACTCCTTTTTTCGTGAAAAGTGAAATGCCGAGACGTGCAAGTCTCTGCATTTCACTTTTCACGAATAAAAGGTGCTACATGGATTTAGGCCCGTGTTTGTTTTGGGCAATTGATTTTGTTGCTCGGCAAGTGGCGTCTCCAAACCTGACCACAAACCACACCCTAAACCAGCCCTTGCGACAACCCCAAGCCAACCCTTAAGCAATCCTAACCCACTCTCCGCCCTACCCTAACCCGCCCCAAACCAACTGCAAACCAATCCTTAAACCCACCCAACGCTCACCCAAAAGTCCACCCGACTCAACCCAAACCAACGCTAAAAACTTAAAACTCATTCCAAACCAGTTGAATTCCATCCCCTTTCCTGAATTAGGCTTGAGAAAGAAGCAACCGTAAATCAACCCTAACCCAACCCGAAACCAACCCCAACCCCTACTAAACAATCCTAAACCTGCCCTACCCCATCCTAAGCCCACCCAAAACAAACCCTCAGCAAACCCCAAGCCGACTCTGAACCAACCCTAGACCCCCCTGCCTTCCCTGAACCAACAACCCGCTGAGATGCTGAGGTGATGCTATACGGCAGCCCTAAAACTCCCAACCGTAAAACCATTCCAAACCCACTCTGAACCCATCTTTAATCAAGCCAAAACAAAACAGCCCGCTGGTGATGCTAGCGGTGTTGGTGATGCTGCAACGACCTGCTGCAAAAATGGCGTGAGACTAGATTTGCCGGAAAATACTGCAATGGCGCGTGGCTTGCTTGAAAGGCATCTCGACCCTTAATAAACACGCCAGTGCACCCACAGCGCTGCTTCAATGGGTGGAGTTCAGCAGTAATTAGTTGAGAGCAAGATAAGCTCCTCACATGTGGGAAATCCCGCCTTGCGTCCTAGCCGTACTTCTCTGCATCAGTATCACAATCACTGTCTGCAAAAACTCTAAACAGCCACAGCCACAGCCATGGATACCTTTGGCAATTAGGTAATTGTTCTATAGTGGCATGGCGGGCCGCAACGAACTTGTTACAGTCTCTTGGCGGCCCAAACATGGGCCAAACTTCAAAAGAGCCTAAGCTTGCCTGGGCTTTGTCACCTTGACTGGATTGTCGTGATCTTGTTAAAGAAGGCGCGTTGCATTGGAGTCCAAAACTCTCCCCAGCATTTCCGGTTGCACGACCTCTGACGCCCTCCCACTTTTTCGCGGCTAAGATTTGGCATGGGGCCCTCCTTTCACCAGGGCTCCCTGTATTGCCCCTTTTTGTGTATTGAAAAATCACCTCCTGGGCCAATGTCTATTCTGAGTTGGCTTTTGGTGGGGTGATGTTTGAAGGATCGCGTTTTTATACGTGCTTTGGCGCTGCAAACAGGCCGTCCCCACCAACCCCCTTCCGCCCCAAGCCCCCCCAAACCTCCCTCCAACGGTCTCCCTTCGCGCGAACCCCCAAAAAGCCCCCCCCTTTAAAAAAAAGAAAGAAGAAGAAGAAGAGAGAGGACAAAAACCTCCGGCAACCTCCGGCCACCTCCCACGACACTGGCCTCCCGGGAGCTGGGCCGTTTGGCGTCCATGTTCAGCAGCGCCGACAGGAAGTGCCGCGCCTCTTGGGAGGTGCCTTCCGGCCTCGGCGAAACAGCGGCCGGGTTTCGGGTTTCGGGTTGTGGGGCGGCTGGGCAGTTGTTGACGTTCTTTTCTGCGGGAATCACCCTGACAGAAATTGGCACAAACACGTCTGCACATACTTCGACTTCCCGAACCGAAAGCTGATCTCAATTGAGAGACCTTCTTGGGTGAGCTGGTCTTACCCCTCCCTGAGTTGGCTCTAGTTGTTGTGCCCGATGTCCAACCTACTTCAGCCTGAAAAACAAGCATGGCAAGCAACACACCAGGATGAAAGCAGATGCCATGATGAAAGAATTGTGCCATGAACTTTCACCTAACTGGGCTGTCCTCGGATCCCCTGCTAAAAGTTTAACTGTTGCTGGGTTAAATGGAAATCCCGCAAAATCCTAAGAATCCAAAAATCTAAGGGGATGACTGGGAACCACCTTGCAACCATGGCGGTGTCGACCTACTAAGGCAAGCTGAAGATCTTCAAGGCCCTTGCAGTTGCTGCATCATGCCAATGCGCATGTGCCTGGCCACGAACAGAACAAGCACGATCGAGGGACTTGCGGTTCTACCAGCATGGTATCAGATTTAAAGGCGGTTGTTTGAAAGCCCAATTTATGCCTCTGATACTTTCAAACAATCATGGAGGCGGACAAGCAGGAATTGGAAGACTACTCCTTGATTGTTGGAAAGAGGGTACCCCCTGGAAACAGTCAGAATCAAAACCTGATATCAACATGGCCGACCCAAAGCTATGTAAAGAATCAAGAGGATATTCACCCATTCTTGGTTGGGACTCTCTCCGGCAGTCTACTCTTGCCTTGAGGGGGGGGGCGGCGCCCCAATTTCCTCTTGTCTTGAGCAAAGCATACTGTGGGTATCACACGTGCCCTCTCAAAGTTTTGTTTTGTCAGGAGAGGACATTCATCCTGAGTCGGACGAATGTGGCCATGGCACACACGCGCAGGCACCTGTCACAGGGCTGCCGTTGTTTCCCCCTCCCTTTCAACTGGAAATTGGCCCAAAGGTTGATATGCAGCACTACCAAGCACCAACCCACTTGCAATTGGCCCAAAAGTTGATGTTGAAAAAAACGAGCCAACAGGAAATGAAAAGAGATCATTTGGTGGGAGATCTCGCTTCCAAGGCTTTCGACTTGGACTCTCGAAACCTGCTTGCAAGGGCCACAGGTGTTTGTATGTGCATTGCTGTTTTGAGCATCGCCTTCTCTGGGTTTGTTTTCCTTGGGGAAACCCCAGACGAACTACCTTTTGTAGGGATTCCTCTAGTTTGACACCAACCCAACATGTGTGTGTGTGTGTGTGTGGGTGGGTGGGTGGGTGGGTGGGTGGGTGGGTGGGTGGGTGGGTGGGTGGGTGGGTGGGTGGGTGGGTGGGTGGGGTGGGTGGGTGGGTGGGTGGGTGGGTGTGCCACCTGCTTGAAACTTGCCTCTGAGTACCTTCTGTCGTGGCGCACTTCAATCCCTGCTGGTCGGTAACTCATTCTAGGGGGAAACCTAGGGCCCGCTCTAGGAAGGCTTCTTCGAGCCTTGGAAGGGGTGGATCCAAGAGCTCCGAGAACCAAGGTGGGTAGGGTGGCAACGCTAGCGCGAAGCTTCACGGCGCCTGCGTGGTGGGCGGCCACTCAGCAGGGCGTGCACCAGGCAGCCCAAGGAGAAGACGTCGCCTCGAAGCTGTTCGAAAGACAAAGGGCCGGCGTCAAAGCTGGGAAGGGAATTTCCGGTCTATCACGGAAAGGAGGACACCGAAAGATGGCGCAGAGCGCGAGCAAAAGGTGCAAACACCGAAGCGGGCAAGGCCCCCTCCGTCAAGGTTCATGTGGCTCCAGCTGAGCTAAGAATGAAAGTGACGGCCCCCGATGCATCTCACGATATCTCAATAAGTTGCCTCCATTGATGGGGTCCCTTAGTAATACTTTAAGAATCAATATGGTTGTCTAAGTTTCCTATTGCGGGGTACATGAAAAGCCCTACCAACCCCAAGCAAAACAATGTTTTGGCCATGATACATGTGCCCGCGTTCTTGAAACCTCTTCGTTTCGTGAGTCGTACCAGCAGCTCAATCCTCCCGGGTCCCAGGTATTGACCTGCTCGCTAGTTCGTTCCCCCGATGCCTCTTTCCTACTCAGAAATCGCTACCCCGTCTCACACGCCTTTTGTACTGCCCTAGAGAGCAATATTCTACCCACTCAGTGCTCCTGAGAGCTTGCCGCAGCGCTCGACTGCCGCGCTTCGGGTGCTTTACAGGGGCTCAGTTTCCCCTCCTTTTGAAAGTTGAAGATCAAGGCCCAGCTGCTTTGCCAGGGGCTCCTTTTCTCCGCCACGAAGGTGAGCTTGGTAACTAACAAATGAAGCTAGAGATTCAAGAAAGTAGCATTTTGTTACGATGGAGAGTTGGTTTTTGACTGCTCCGAGCATACTGGACAAGATGCTGCAATTGCTAGGTGGTTTATCCCAGTATTCATGGGGCTTATCCATCACAACTAGCGCAGAATTGTGGGAAGGGTTTGATCCAACATGGTTTGAAGGTTCCACCAATATCCCAAACCAATTCCAATGTCATTACCCAACATGTGAACGTTGATGAGTCTTGGACTCTTTGCTCATGATGGTTATGAGCCACTGACGTGGCAACTCTGAGCTCTTCATAACCATCGTTGCTCCAAACCCTCGGGATTCGCAGGAGGCGCGAGGATTTGAGCGCCGGGCACTTGAGGTCATAGGACTGAGCCGCCAGCACCTGATGGGCGTTCTGTTGGAGGAAGCCAATGGAACTAGCGGAAGTATCTCAGCCCCCCTCCCCAATAACCGAAAGGAACCCCCAAGAAGGGTTGTTAAAACTTTCTTAGAAGGGGTTCTTGAAAGGGGTTCCTTCAACGAGTACCTTTCTGGAGGGTAGCGAGGGCCCCGAATTAATTTGCTTAGGAGCACCAAAACACAAGCGCTGGCCTTCTTCTTTGGAAGGGAACCACTTGTGGCAGTACTTTGGCGATGCTGTCGGGAACGACACCTGAACTACGCGATTGACCCCCTTACGACGCAATCCACCCATCTAACGAGATACCAGACACAAGACTTCAAATCGTCAAGCAGGCGCGGAGGTAATTCCAGAAAGCCTGTCACACTCAGAGCCCCAAGCATGCAGGATTGTTGACTACTAGAGTAGGTGACCACGCAGTATGTTCTTTAGTCCTGGAAGGCTGATTCCAGTGGTGGGTTAATGGTACATGTAGGTCATTGAATTCGCCATCAGGAAAGTGTCGAAGAGACAGGAGGCTTCTTAAAGGCCATTGGCAAATGTGCGCCTTTCCAATTCGTAGTCGGAATCTGGAAATAGGGGTAGTTGGGGTAGACAACATCTACATCTGCGAGGCCTGGAGGCTCACCTCTTGAACTTCTTTGGACTCTTTGCGGTCATGAGTCATGAACGGCTGACCCACACACAGATTGGTTTGTTCCCCAACACAACATGGGAGAAATGGGTTGTTGTCTCCCTGCGTCGCTTTGGAGCGGGCTACTAGTCCCATGTATGTACATGATGGGTTGGCTCCCTGATTTTTTGTGGAGTTTTGGGGGTGTCCCCTCATGTCCTCCCCAAACAAACAATACACTGCCAGGATGTTTGTCAGTTGCTAAGGACCTCTGCATGGAGACGAATGCCCACGAAAGAATAAGTGGGGAACCCAGAACCCAGAACTGTCAATGATATGTGGATACTTTATTCTGGTACATGTTGAGTTGCACTGGGGCGAATCTCCAGTGGTTCGGATTGTGCTTGGTTTCCGCAGCTGGGGTAGGCTGTCATTGCTCAGCTGCTTATGTCGAAACCGGGCTCGCGCTCTCTGGACACCAAAATGCCTGGTCTTCCCCTGGTTTCCCTTGTGAAGCCCCAAACATATGGCCGTGGGTCAAAGCCAATGGTACCATTTTGGGGTAGGTGCACCACCCATTTTAGTCTATTTCAGTGAGGATTGGGATGTTCACTGGGGGTACGATTTGGATTTTGACCCATGGCCATATGGAAAACCCGAGCCATACCTTTCGCCTCAACCGCCCCGCGCTGCGAACGTTGCGGCGTCCACCGCACGCCTCGGGCGCCACGAAGCCGCGCGTGCCCAGCTCCCCGGCGAGGCGCTCCTTCGATCGACCGGTTTGTCCGTGGATGCCATCCCCAGGCGTTGGAAAACCCGATTGGAAAACCACAAAGGGTGTTTGCTCCAAGCAAAAACACATCAATCCCAATCCATACTGAAAAACCGCGATTCGAAGTGGAGCATATTAAGGGATTACCAAATTTGCGAACCTTATAAACTACCCCCATAAAAAAATAGGTCAATCCCTCATGGTTCACGAAGCAACTACCAAACTTGAATCCCCTTAACCATGAAGGTGGGGGTTATCAAAGTCAGCAACTGGCTTCCGTCGTGAGTTACTGGGGCATGGATCCATAGACAGTTTCATTAACGGAATTTCAATTGCCTTTTGGTGTCCCTTTAAATCAACCTGCAAAGGGTGCAAAGGGTGCAAAGGGTGCAAAGGGTGTCCTTTCGGTGTCGATCAACCATTGTGGTTTGGTTAACTTCTCGTGGCAAGTGAACATACTTCTGCAGATTCACAGGCTTTAACACCGTTTGCGTCGCCTCATGCATCATGCTATGCCCATCATCATCACTTGCAGCTGCTTGCACAGGCACCAGGCGCATCTCACTGCTTGCATGCTGTTTACTCCTACTTAGATTCCTACGTTAAAAAAAAAAGCTGGCGGGGCTGTTCAAATAGAGTGTTGGCCAATCCGAGTGTCCATGATCCCCATGGGGAAAAAACAACAAAAACACTACAAAGGGGACCCCTTTCGTAACCCAAGGTAGGGATTAAGGATTGCCTTTGAACATCTCAGCTTATGGTTTCATTGCAGGGAATTCCCTTCCGGTGAATATTTTGACGGTTTTGGGAGGGGGGGTTCAGCAGGACTGTTTCCCTTTAACCTATCACCTCGGGGGGGACTTCTCCTCCAAAACTGCCCTCTCCCCCAACAAACTGAAGGCACCTTTGAGAGGCTACCAAGATCTATTTCCCTAGCATCCACTGTCAGGTGACACGGTGGAGGGATGGAGTGCATTTGACTTTTGGGGCAGGCTGAATATGAAACAGCATCTGAAACTGCTTTTCTGTCTCCACATGTGGGCCAAGTCGTTCAACAAGCAGGGGGGAGGAGCCCCGCATTGAACCATCTCTGGTCCCCTTTCGGTTCATTCCCGAAACCCTTAGGGAAGCATCCAGTGAGCATTTCTTTCTGGGTTCATGTTTCCACTTGTCTTGTCGCTGATTTTCCATTATTGTTCTCAGCAGGCAATTCGTTGGAATGCCCCCAAACTGAGACATCCAACTCATGCTTCCTCGGAAATCCCCTTCCAGTTCTTTCCCAAAACCCTGGTCAATTTCTGAGAACCAGCAACATATCGTCGGAGAAACATGTGAGCATTTCTATTTGGGGTGTTTTTTTGGGGGGCGGGGCAGACATGGTTTGAGGTTTCGATTTTGGGCGTTGATCTACGTGCTATATAAAATAGGAATCGATCTGAAACTGCGCATAGAGGGCGTCGGGGAATGCAGGCGTGCTTACGGGAAATCCCTTGAAACACCTGGAAGAACGTCATGCACTTCAAGGGCTCCCTAAACCCCAGAATCCAAGACGCAAACTTCCTTTCATTGCTCAAAAATCTAAGGGGAACCCATCTGGAACTTTGACAATTCCAAGACCTGAAACAAGAATTGGATTCCCCAAGTGAAGGACCTACATGATAGTGAGCCTGTTTTACCCGCGAATCAGTGAGCTCGCAGAAAAAGTAAGCAGACACCCATGCACTGCTCCCTATCAAACCTCGCAGACTGGCCAGCATCGAAATCCATGGAACTCGGGGCCCAAAGCCCCAAGCGGGCCTGGATCTCAAAACACACGTTCCCCCCTAAAGAGCAATGGGGGCTTATATAAACTTTTCAGCTTCCCTTTTCAGCAAAAAAGGGGTCCAAGGACAAAGCCAAATCAGAAAACGCGGCTCTCTGCGCAGCCCGAGCCTGGCCCCGCATCATTCCAGCGTGCGAGAAGTCGATGAGCTTGGGGGTCGCCTACCCCGACGGCATGTGGGTTCTCTAGAAACAAGCACAAGGAGTCCGCCACTGTGAAGGCCGAGTCTTGGTTCAGGGCATGTGTCCTGCTGATGATGTCTTTTGGGATTGTTGGCAGCAAATCGCGACCGCTTGGTACTGGCCCTGCACCTTGGGTTGTTCAAAATGGGGTCCTGGATCCCGATTGAAGGGAGCCTTCAAAGCCACAAGGGGACAAGGACCATCCAAAAGGGTTGGTTTCCTTTTGGCTTCGTCCGAACAGAAAGAACACGACGCCTTCAAATCGATCCCGATCCGAGCGATTTTCCGTCCCCGCGCGCCTCGCCCTCCGCTCCGAAGAGCACGTTGCCGGGCTTCAGGTCACGGTGCGCGATACCTCAAAAACGACCAACGGGAAGGCGCGGCACAAGGCGTCGCAAGATAGGGATGTGTTTTTCAGTTTGTTTGCAGAAACAAAAAAAATGGGTTTCCTTCTGGTGTCAATTTTCAACCAACCCCAAAAGGGTGCCGTCAAACAAAGAGACACACCAACGCCACCAAGAACTTGTGTGGAACTCTTGAGGTCCCTTGTCTTATTGGCCAGGAATCCGATGGGTTCCAACCGCTGGTCAACACATAAGCATGCCATCAGGTGCCATGGACGAAATGAGTTTACGTTACATATGGGCCCATGGGTTGGAGGGTGCCTCGCCCACATGTCTTGCTTTTGCCGCTTGGAGTTTAGCTCAAATAGAAGGGGGGGGTTAAGGTTGTTAATGTTCGGGGGTTGTAGAGTGTTCGAGGTTTGGGCTTTTCGGAAGTTACTGGCTTGCGGGCGTGGGTGTTGAGGGCTGCTGCTGAGGTTCAATGGGCAGTTGCTTGTTGGCTAAAGCCCTCAGCACATTGACGGTATGCTTGGGTTGGCTGCCCACTGCCTCCCCGAGAGCGATGTTCATCACAAGACAAGCCTCAAAGGCGTGTAGCTTTGGCTTGACTCCTCGGGACCCCGCCTTGGTCATGCAAGCTGACCAGGCCCTCGCAGATGCTCCTGTCAGGAGCGATGGGAAACGGGGGTGGCTGGAAAAATAGGGGCCCAAAATGGAACCCTGGTAAATGGAAAAGTAGATTACAGCCGGTTCCCTGGCTCTTAAGTCTTGAGCCACACCAAATCTCGAGAGACGCCTGTGTGCGTTTTTCTTGTAGGAAATCCAGTGCGTCCCATGTCCGTCCAAAATTGACCATAAACAACTGGATAGCTTGGATACTTTGACCCACCCTCTTGTGGTGTCCTGGGCAAAAAAAATACCAGCTCACCCGAAGAAGGTGCCTCGCAGTTGCTCATTGGAACCTAGACAGATCCCCAAAAACAAATCTCCCAAACATGATGGTTTCCCAAAATCGGGGACCGATACAAATGGGTTGCTTCCTTCTGGTTTCCCGTTGAAACCGTTCAACAAGGGAGTCATGAAAGCCTGGGATGAAACAATGTCCGGCCCAAAGCCATGTAGAGAATGTAAGAGGCAGATATCTGAACCCATTTCTGGTTGGGACCGTCTCCACACCTTCCCTCAGGCTCCATGTCACTTGCCAGATATCAGCAACGGTCAAAGCTGTGGGCCACGGTTCCCTTCATAAACCTTGTCAAAGTTCCCAACGGGTCCATGATCATCCTACCCCAATCAGAGGAATCGAGAGCAATGGTCCGTGGCTGTCTAAATGCTCTCTTCGATCATGACACATATCTAGAAACACCATCCCAGGCGTCGAGGGCAACAAAGGGGTGTCAGTGACATCAAGGATGTTCGTTTCGTCGAACTGAACTCGAAATTCAAGCTCAGGCTGACATCTGCGAGGAGTGAATCTCATCGCTTGGTGCTAGGGGGAGCTAGCAAGCCAGCAACGAACCAACGTACACCCTACCACCGCTTTCCTCCCGACATTCAGCCACAGGCCCGCACGGTTGCGCCAACTGGCACCCCAATCTGCTTTCTTTCATCATACCCTCCTCCCTTTCTCAAGGGTACCCTTCTTGAAGTTGGCGTTCTAAGGGAACCCAAAAGTAACATCTCACATTCTTTGGGGGGTCCCCCCCCCCCCGGTTTTCATTTTGTAGGTTCTATTGGTTTTCAATCTTGTTTAGATAAGGATGTTTTTTGTTTTGAATTTGTCTTTGGACGTTGTTTGGCAATTATTGCTAACTTGCTTAATTCATCATGTTTCAATTGATTTATCTGTATATAATGTTTGGCAAGTCACCCGGCACCACGGCTCCTGGCGACGCGGCGCGCGGCCTCCTCCTCCAGCGGCGCGTGCTGGATGCGATCCTCTAAGGACCCGCCTGCGCTCGACTCGAAAGGTCCCCGGAAGCCGAGGGAAACACGTCGATGTTGGCGGTGGAACGAAGCAAAGAAAACGAGGCGACGAGGCCCATGTTCAAAAAAATGTCAAGCCGTGTCAAAAGCTGGCTTTTTGACGTGCAAACCGAGCACCAGGGAGTGAAGAGGCCAGATGGTATGGCAACCGTTTGGGTTGTTGTTGCACTCTGAAACTGTCTTGACCTACCGACGAAGTAAGTCCAGATCGGGCCAAGGGGATGAGGGCAGAGCGGAGCAAACCCCTTGTTTCAACAAGTTAAAAACCACTGTGTCGAAAGCCTGCCTTTGGTTTCCCTTCAAACCCAGCCAAATTATTTTGCCACAAACCTTGCCCCTCCCCTTCTCCCACCTGGGGTTGGCCCACAGTGGCCAATGACTGGCTGGTGCCTGCGTTGGCTTGTGGTAAAATTCCTGAGTTTGGGTAACAATGCTGTAATGCTTTGCATAGCCCTCACTCTACCCCCTATGAAGCCAAGTAGAACCTACTTGCCCAGAATCGGTTTTGGGCGCTATCTGGCCATTCCCCCAAGCCTTCCAGCAACTCGGTGACAAAGTAGTGCACCGGCTCCTCCTGAAGATACGAGCAAGGGCCCGGCCCACCGGACCGCTTCACGGCGAAGAAGGGCGGGCTGCTTCTTCCAAGTAAACCCAGCAAAAAAGCGCCAAAGGGAAAGATGGAAAGGGGGGACCAAAGCTGCTATGGGTGTGTATCCTCTAATGGCCTCGAAAATGTCTTTCTGGTTTCCGTTAAAACCATAAAAAGGAGAGAGTGCACTTGCCTCTGAGCCAGGCATGTGACACCTCTTTTCTTTGCACGACCCGCGTGGTGACCCTCTGGCCAAGCTTGCAGGTACGCGCGGCCACTGGCGTGAATGCATGCTTCCATGGTGGCCTTTTCATGTGGCCCAAAAACGAGCCGGGCTTTGATGCACGCCTGTGCCTTGGGCATCTCAAGTGCTCTCTGGGCGTCCTACCTCGCTCAGCGTTGGTGAAGCCGTGGGATGCAGGTTGCAACAAATGCGACTTTCTGCGCACAGAACCATATCCGCGAACCACGTGCTAAGTGGATGCCTGAACTCAGAGACAGTCTGTCGAGTTTCTCGAGGATTCCAGAGTACCGCCGAGGTGCCATGGCCAGGCTCTGATATTCAAGTCTGGTCTCGTAATACATCAAATTTTGGAACCCTAAAGTGCATCAACCAAAGCGAATAAAAAGAGAAGACCTATTTTTCCTGCTGCTCCCCCAACCAACCCACCCAGTGAAGAGAGACCCCAAAAAACGGACATCCCCAAAGACCCGCCAACCTATAAACTGACCAACAAAACAGACCACCCAAAACAGACCACCCAAAACAGACCACCCAAAACAGACCACCCAAAACAGACCACCCAAAACAGACCAACCAACCAACCAACCAACCAACGGGTAAACAGCCCCAAGACAAACACCAGCCCCCGCCCGTCTCGCGTGAGACCTTCTCGGCTCCTTGAAGGCCTCGAGGCCCAGGCTTGCGGCCTCCAGGCCCGTGCCACCGAAGCAGCCTTGAGGGACGGACAAGGTCCAGCGGTGGAGACATTGGCTTCTTGGGTTCAAAGACATGGGGATGTTATAGGGCCGTTGCACTAAAATCCCTATATTATGTATATATATATATATATATCTATATATATATATATGTGTTTTGTTTAATAGAAACCCTATAGACAAAACCTGGGTTGATGCCCGATGGTTCGAGAGGCAGGGAATGAGAAATGGAATGACCCCTATAACCCATCGCCGATTCGGTCTCCTTGAAACCCGGAACGGGCAGTCGGTTGAAAGAGGATTAAGTTGCTTGACTTCATCTGAGGTGCGCGAAAGAGAAAACCGAAGGGCCACGTTGGGTTGGGTTGAAAACGACCATTTTTGAGTGTGGGTTGAAAATGACCGTTTGGCTTTTGGGGTCCCCTAATTTTGGAAGAAAAACTATGAGACATGGTCCAACTGACCTGTCGCCCCAAAAGGTACCAGACCTTGGCCTAAGGGAAGTCAACAAGAGTTTTTTGATATGGAAGTGTTCACATGACCTGTTCCCGACATGGGAAGTTTAGGGGAATTTTAGTGAGTTTCCGCCCGTTGGGGAGCTAAGGTTGTTGCCTCTTTTCGGGGCAATCCTGGAGACCATCTTGAGGGGTGCGGGAGGAAAACGAGGCAGCGATGAGTCATTTCAGGGGCTCCTGGCCGATGCGGCGCAAGTTCCCGCCGACCCAAAACGTCTGGTCCGTGATCAAAAGTGGCCTGACAACTCATCATGGAACCCCAAAACCGTACCGTTTTGGAGTTCCATGTCAAGGGGAGAACTCCAACTCTGCCGTTGGCTTCCCCTCCCGCACGGCGAACTGGGCTGCAGGGTGCTTGAGCACTCGGCCCGATCTTGTGACTCCGCGATTGTTGCTTCTGAAAAAAACTGTGAGCCTGATCTGGCAACTGCAAAACACGCACAGACACCCTAAACCAAATACGTCACTCCAGTCTCCGAATCTTCACGCGATGCCGTTCGTGCGCTGCTTTTGCTGGGCAAAGCCTGGCAAAAGCTCATTCAGAAAGACCTGCAATAGATCACATCTCGGTCAGGTGCAACCAACAAACTACGGAAATTTCAGCCTGGGTATTCTTCAAGGGCTACGGCACACCACAGAAAATATTGGACTGGTTTGAAGAGGTGTTTCTTCCGGGGACTGCCCACTCAAGTTCAACAGCTGGATCTGGAACTGGGCTTTGAGGGCACTGGCTCAACCAATCTGAGACACAGTCTGATCGTATCAAAAGCGTAGAGTCTAGAAAGAGTCGAAAAAAACAAAGAACGGAACTCGAGATGATGTCAAACACCACCCCCTTAAAGCAAACGTAAAGACTAAAGGGGGTCCCTGCAAATGTGAAATGGTTGTTGAAGGGGCCTTGTTGCATGGTTGTTGCTGTTGTTGTTGTTGTTTTTTTTAGGGGGCAAGGACCTTGGAGCAAGAACAGCCATCCAGTATTTCCTGACTTGGCTGCGTCTGGTCATCTCAGCTTGCAAACCCTGTGGAATTGGGTTCAAATGCCCAATAGGGGCTTCGGGCGCGTACATGAGTGTACAACACAGAGAGAGAGAGAGAGACAAAAAAAGCGAGAGAGTGAGAGAGTGTTGAGTGAGTGTGCGCGTGTGATGAAGTAAAATCATACAAAGGGAATGTGTCAAATTGGAGACCCCTTTTATACTAGGTCTTATATTGCTGTATCAGGAAACAAACCCATTCAAAGGGGTCACGTTCGCCCGCATGGTCATGAGGTTTGTGGCATTGGCACCTGCATCGATCGAGCAGCTCGATCCTCCAAGAGGCATCGCTGACCTCTACCTTCGCCTGAAGCCACCCCTCCGCATTCAGCATGGGGCCAGAAATGTGCCTTTCTGGTCATTTCTGGTTGAAAGGGAAAATGAACCAGAAGGCAAAAAGATAAGCTGAATCTGGCATTGGGGACGATGGAATCTAGGGGCAAGGCCACCTAGGTGCACTGCGACTCTTTCCGCCGGCCAAAGGGAAGAATTCCTGGCCAAATGTACCGCTCAGGCACGCGTGCAAATGTACACGTACGTGACGCGCATGCGAGAGCGCGTCTGTGCGCTCGCAATCCGCGATCTGCTTGCTCCAGCCTGGATGGCCCAGAGCTGTTTGGAGTTCCACCCCGCTTGAAATCACCCCAACCAGCCCCACCATTTGGCGCTGCCGGCGTGAGGGTTTCCAAACCGCCACTAGCCCCAAAAGCTCCTAGAAAGCCCCATACACACATCTATAGGTATGTACATGCATCCGCATTTATACCCAGCGTCTCTCAAAACAATAGAAAGGCTCGGTCTCCGGGCCGATCAGCTCTACCACGTTCGGGTGAGAGCCTGGCTTCGCGAAAGAGTCGAAACCGAGAGGGAGACTCCGAGTCAGACGAAAATGCCCAAGGCGTCGCAAGCAAGTAACCGGGACAAGGAATGCTCCCACTTTTACAAAATTCACAAAAAGAAGAAAGTTAATGTGGGCCAAAACTGCCAAACATGCCAAAACCCTCCGAAAGGAAGGGTAGCTCTGCAAGACCACTCTGAATGCGTGCATAAATAAGATTCCGACCCGGCCATGGTCATCATCATCATTGTTATCTCTCGGGGATGGCTGTTTGACCATCCTGAGGGAGTGAACTGACCTCCAATACAACAAGCTTGGGGCGCCAAGAAGCCGCTCCTCAATCAACCAAAACGGGCCCTTGTGCAACAGCCTGGCAGGAGAATGTAACTGGCCATGCACTCCTTAAATCATGGCGATCTAACAAATGGGTGTGTGTGTGTGTGTGTTTGGAGGGTGCCCCCTTTTGGTTGGTTTTAAAAGGAAACCAAAAGGAAAACCACAATTGTTTGGGGGGGGGGGTCCCCTGAGTAAAGACACACCCAAATGAGTTCCGTCCGGATGCTACGCACATTGTCCTGTGCACGCAATCGGAACCCGGGCTGCCGTGCCCCCGAGATGCTGCCGGGGACTGGCGAATGTTGCCATCCCTTGTCCCTCATCCCGGTCCAAGCCCAAAAGGCCGCAGGGTGTCTAGAGGGGCTCTGAAAATACCATTCAAGCTCATATAAGATTCCCTCACTTCCCAGATGAGCGGAAAAGAATCGAGACGAACATCGACTCACCAATTCGGGGCTTGGCGCCCAACTTGCCCAGCTAAGGATCCCTGGAACTTCGGCTTGACCCTCAGGTCCCATCCTCAAATCAAGGAGTGCTTTCTTGCTGGTAGTCCCGTCCCCCCATGCCAGGACTAGTTGGGTCAGTGGTCAATATGGGTGTGTCTAGGGGCCACAAAACCAGAGTTATCCTACTGGTTTCACTTGAAAACCACAAAACTGGTAGCCTCAGACTAGACACACCGGGTGCCCAGTTACGCATAGTGTCCATGCGCACCGTCGCCTCGGCTCAGGAGATGGTTAAAGATCTTGTTTTCGTTCTCGATGCCTGGCCCCAACAGCGCGGAGACGGCCAAGCAACACTGGGCGTGCCTTTTTGAGGGTATCCCTTTTGGAGTGGCTTTGAAGGGAAGCCAGAAGAAACGTAACCATGGTTGAACCTGGTTGGTGTCCCCAGCGCCAAATTGAGGTCCAGAACTCGTTTTGCTTCTTGTGGTGGAGCACACGCGAATAGGAACAAACCAAATGTAGGCTTGCGCAGCATGTGGGGCCTACACCAGGTCAGTTGCTTGCAGCGCGCGGTGCGCACTCCGAGCAACAACCCTCCAGGGACCATGACCACATGTTCCAGGACGACCCAGAAGGAAGCCGTCGTAGCAAAACAGCATGAAACATTTGGCCACATTCTCGTGCAGTTTAATTGGGTACCCTTTGGCGGGCATCGTTTTGGAGGATATTCACGTCCACCAATCACTTTGCAGGTAGTTCCCGATTCATCACGTCACTGGTGTAATCAGTGTGACTCAGCCTGTGATTGTGATTGTTCAAACTGACGACATCTCGCGCTCAGCAAGAAACTCACAGGTCAAAATCTCAACAGCTTGCTTCGATTCGAATCAGGTGGTGGGTGGCATGGTGGCGCACAGCCTGAGAAAATCCTACTTTGCGAACCGCCGCACCGTTTGTGCTATCGAGCCCGTTCCCAGTACGACGACCTTACAATGAGTTGTGATTGCAGCTCGCCAGCCGTGGTTCGAGAAAGTTTTCTTGTAGCTTGATGCTCAGATGCCTGTCTGTCAATCTTGGGCTGCTCTTCCCTCATGTTGCGATATTGCGCAATGTGGGTGTGTCTGTTTGTTGAAGGTGCTCGTTTTGGGGGTTGGCGAAGAGGGAACCCGAAAGGACCCCTACCGCCCTATTTTGAGACAAGCCATTGACCAACCAAGAAAACTCCATGCGAGCGGAGTCAAGATGGCTGTTTGCGCACCCACTCATTCAGCACCTTTCCTGCGTGGGACTTGCCCCGGAGCAAATCCAAGCCTTTGAAGGTGTGGGAAGTCTGATTGTTTCCAACATGATTCCGCATACCTTCCCTCAATCTTCCTTTCCAAAAACCTCGAAACCAAGTGGGTTTGTCTTAAGGGAAGCATGGGAATCCAACAAAGCTTCAGGGATTGGAGTCCGGACCTAGGTTTTGGCGCAGCCCGACCTGCGCCCCGCCCGTTCCGCCTTCGGCTACCGGTATCGCACCGGTCTCCACTGGAAGTGCCACACTCATCGCCTGCTGCGATGCGTTGCTGTGGACACCCTCAGCCCCCCTGCCCAAGACCCAGTGTGAAACCTGAAACGAGCACCCCTTTTCCCCCCCCCTCACCCCCCTCAAACCCCAAACCCGAAACCGGTTGGCGAAGAGGGGTCCGTGTGCTAACTGAGTACTCACCATATGCTGATCCGGCGCCTTGATGGCCACGTCAAAGTTGGTGCTCACATGCTTCCCGGCCTTGTGGCGAAACATGCTGGTCACACATTGGGGAACTCATCAATCTCCACATCAGATCGAGTGGATGGGTTTGCGCCCAAGTGCTGGGCTCGGATTATTCAGGCTCGGGGCCCTTGGTTGGGGTGTCCCCGCTGAAAACAAATGCAAAACAGCCCCATTTGAGGGGGATTCCCTGCATTTTATGTTTTTTTTGTTTTTGTTTTTGTTTGCTTTTGCTTCTTCTTCTTTTTTTTTTTGGGGGGGGGCCAAGGGAAACCAAAGCAGCAATTTTGGGGCAGATCCCGCTGTGTACAGGCAAATGCGAGAAAAGCTCAGACACGTTTCTTTGGCAGTTGATTCTGGGGAAACCCGCCGAAAGAACAAAGCGGGCTAAAGGCTGATTTTGCGGGCTCCGTGCTGAAGAGCTCGCCTTCATTTGCGGCTGATGGTGAATTTGGAGGAAATGCCAGAGCAAGCAGCACCCTCGCAAGCCGTGAGAAGAAAGAAGGCACTTGCTGTGGCAGCGAGTCCCTCACTCCAATGCCTCAAAGGAACAGATCAAGGCAAAGCTTTCAAGATTGCATCACCGTCGGCACCCGCTACGCCTCCCTTACATCCATGAGCTGTATGTAGCAAGCATCTCTTCTTCAGTCTCTAACACAGCTCAAGAGATGCCCATAGGATGGACAAATCCTGCACCAGTTGGAAACCATGGGAAACCACGTTTGGCATTTACAGGGGAATCATCTTTCCAGGGCCTCTTAGGTGGTGCGAAATGGATTCCGTCCATCCACAGGGTTGGATTTGTTGATTGCCCCCGACTCAAAGCGGCCCGGTGTCCTTCGGGGACACCGGGTTTGCTCCTTGGGGAAATCGGCTGGGCCACCGCGCGAAGACCAGGGAGCACGCACCTCTGCCCACTGGGGAGTGGAAGTCCACCTGTCACGGGGTTCCCCGTTTTCAACCGTTGTTTTCAAAAAATTCTGCGAAACCAAGGCCCCCTGATTTGTTGTGTGGTTTTCTGGGAAAAAAGGGTTCCCTGGAATCTTGGGAAAGGTTCGGGAAGCTTGGCCGTGGATTGGGGGGCGTCTCAAAATGAAAGAACCCTCCAAAAGGGCGGTTGTATCTGCATTTCCTGTTTATCCCCTCCAAAAAGGGTGCCCTAAAAAACTGACACACCCAAAGACCCAATGTCGCCTTTCCAAACACGGGGCCTGCAAGTGAGGAGCAGGGTCCGAGGAAAATCAATGTCAAAGATGAACCCGGGATGTTCAATACTCAGCAAGCAAACATGAGCTTTGCGGCGCGTCCAACTGATGATTATCCATGTTTGGGCTGGTTGAAAGGGGAGCCAAAGTAAAGCTCAAGCCAGCAGTGGTGTTGTTCCCAACCCCATTTCGAGACAAACCCGAGTGTTCTCATGGTCATCAGTTTCGCATCCTCCTGTTGCACAATGAAAGATAAACTCAGCAGCTGACTACGCATGACAGATTGGTGCTATTTTTTCCGAATCACGTGTTCGCCCTCCCCCCCCCCAAAAAAAAAAAAAAGAAAAGTGTTTTGCCCTACAAATAGATCACTACTTTTTTCCCGAGAGGATTGGCCAAAAAAGGCTAAACTTGAGTTTATCACTAAAATTGTCTTCCTGAAGAGCATCAAGTCCAGAATCACGGGAAGTGAGCCTTAAAGTTGTTGAATTCCTTCCAGTGCAAGCCAATCAGACACACTCATCTGCCACGTGGTTCCGCCGGCTCCCACAGAAAGAGGGTGTCTCCTTGGTGGGGTATGCGTTGTCCCACTTTTAGGATCGAAGGTACGGGCTGACAGGGGCAACCTCGTGCTTGTTTGAAAAACATGCCAACAGGAAACCAACCATTCTGAGGGCTCACTGCATCTGGTGTTTCTCAAATAGGGGTCCCTAACAAAGGTTGGCTTCCAATTGGTTTCCCAGCACAAGCATCCAAAAGAAACTATCCACTTGAACCTTACCCCCAAAGTGGTGGTTTCCTTCAATTCTGGTGGACCTGCCCAATTGGAGAATAAGGCCCCCCCTTCGGGGGCCTTCCCTGAAGGTGCGAGAGTTTCGTCCGGTCGCCTTGAACTCCGCCAGAGAACTTGGGCGAGGCTGGTTGAGAGCAGAGAAGGGCTGATGTCCTGACACAAGGACCCCCAAAAGGGACCTGCGAAAAGCAGCGGCTCCTCGTGAGATTTGCCCCAAAGCCCGAAGTCAGCTCATTGCGATTCATTGACTTCCGGCCGTTTCTCAGTGGAACAGCAGCGTCCAAAATGGGGTCCTTTTCCACGGACGCCACATGAAATTGCCTCATGGGGAACTCTCCAAATGGGAGTCTGGTTTATCTGTACACCGACATGCCCACATCTTCAAAGAAGGAGTGCGGCCGCCCGTTTCTGCCGGACCCTGAAGGTTGTTGCTCAGCTACTCGCTTGCCCAAACAACAGAAATGCACACCATGAAAAGGGATGTGAAAAACGGCATTGAGCAATGCGGCACACAGAGAGAAAGCCAACCTCATCTACGCGGCCTTGCCAGGTGTCGGAAACTCTTGGTTGGGAGGCCTTCACTACTTTGCAGGTTTGGCCCCGCTTTGATGTGTAGAAGCCATAAGAATCTTGACGGAGAGAAGGCATCCGGGAAGGCTCCCTTGAAGGGGACCTGAACTGGTTCGGCTGAGCCTTGAGAGAATCGGCGCAGAATCAAAGCACGATACTCAGTTGCGCACAGTTAAAGAGACTGGAGGTCGCAGTAGAAAAAAGGCAGAAACTCCAGAAGCTGATTACCCAAGGCAACTGAAAACATGGGCTCAGCAAACTACACTGGACAAAGCTGATGATTTACTGGTTGGGAAATAGCCCTTGCTCAAAGGCTCAGAGGGTCAGAGTCATAGGGTGTCATGGGGCAACTTCCATGTTTATCTGGGGAGAAAAAGGTCGTCAAAAGATAGAGGCTCGCTCCAAACTTGCGCAATGCTCCGCTCCAGTCCTCGCCCGGTGACAACGCCTGTAGCACGACGCGCATGCTTGGCTCCGCCATGTTGATTTGACTGGCTGATGTTTAAACTTGAAACTGAAACATTGCGATTTCATGAGCATGTCTATATAAGGCTGGTGACACAACGTAAGGGGTCAGGTTGCAACATGATAAGGTTGCAAAAAGGAATGGCTTTCACTAGCAGTCAACCCACCTGGCAATTTTATGAAAGTGTGGAAGGGGTGTCAACGTGTGTTCCCTTTGTAATAGGAAGGAAGCCTATGCCAGGATTGCGGCTCTCCAGCAATTGGAGCACATAACCTCCGGCCTAGCGTGGAACCTGACTTGCTGTCTGGGGGGACCTTCTGCTGGGGGCCTCTTGCTTCGACCCTCGCCCTGGTGAAGCTGTGTGAAGCCCGCAGTGCACTGTCGGGGAGCTAAGAGCAATCACCAGCACGCAGTACCAATCCAGGATTTATGACCCTCTACCCTCCAAGCCCTGGCTTTGGAGAGCGTATTCCCACTTTGGCATATTCTACGGCTATGGCTATGACCCATTGGTTGGCAGAACGAATAACTCGGGGAATCTTGACTTTTTGTATCGGAACTCCCTGCGCACCAGCTTGACGATCCAGCAAGCGTTCCCCCTATCTGCTGATGGCAAATAAAAAGCAATACGTCGGAATCGAGGGGGGTGTGCAACTTAAGGGTCCCTAAGGCTCCCAAACAACCCGCAGCCACCGGGACCCTCCTTCCCTGGGCTCCCTTCCACATTGGGACCCACCACGAGGATTCCCACAACACGGAACATCAAGTGAAACCACAGCACCGTCCGGGGCAACACCACACATCCAAGCGGCTCAGAGGCGCCCTAGGCAGGAGCGGGGCCAACCCAGCACAGCCTGTGCAAGAAAAACGCGGCCGACAAAAACTTGAACTCAGGGGCAGGGCGACGCGCTTTTTGAGCTTGTAAGCAGCGCCCATTTTGGGAGTGTGCCTACATGCAGAGTTTGGTGACTCACGCATGGCAGTGTGTCAACATGCGTTGGACCCCTGCAGGTGTGTGTTGCCTTTGCTTCTTCACACCTATCCAACCAGGTCCCGAAAGTTTTGATTCCCATTTGCAAATGCAAGCTCCATTGACTGCTGAAACCAGGTGCCTTTTAAGTACCCCTGATATTCCCATGGTTTATATGCTATGTATGTATCTATGGTTGCTCTGTTTTCCCCAAAGAAAAAAAACGGCGGGTAGAAACTTGGGCCGGGGGAAAACCCCAAGGAAACCAAGCCATTTCTCCTACGAGGTTTGGTCTTCAAGGCGGGCAACCCGGGACGGCGCTGGTTTCCCCAGACTGGCCGCTGAAAATCCCTCAAACTGGTAAACTGGCATAAGTCAGTGGCTAAACTTTGGTGCCCAAAACGAAATATCATGCATCGGATGCCGGCAACGACGCAGTTGATCTGAGCCATGGTCGTTAAAAGCGTCCTCCTTTGATATGAGCCGTGGTCAAATTTCGTGTTTCCCCTGAAGGACCTGGAAAACCTAGTGCGACAGTAAATGATGGTAGATGTTGACCGCTGCTTCTCTGTTCAAAGAGTAGGCAGGCCCGCAAAGAGCATGAAGGAGCTGGAAAGAATACCTCTCTGCCACTAGCACCCTCTCAACAAGGGCCACTATCTCTTCCATTCCAAGTCCGCCCAGCTGCCTTCCTTTCAACGCGCCAGGTGTGCTTTTGGAAAGGAACAAACGGATTCCACTGGCAAAGAATCACAAACAAACAAGAAGTCCCTTCCTACAGAAGAACCCACCCCCGCCAGTCCATTCCAAGAGGCTAATCTTTTGTGCCACCGCCATCGCGTTGAGTGATCCCAGCCACTGCGTGCAAGTGTCCTCATGCAATTGCATCTGCTCGTAGGCTCCTTCAAAGGTGGGGGTCTGTGTGTCTGTGTGTGTGCGCCGATCTGAAAGCTGAAGTCCTTATATGGCTCCCGTGAGCAACAAATCCAAACCTCACTCTGATCGGAGCTTGGCTGAACCCTCGTTGGCATCTCAGCTATTGTGCCATGTCCCAGAGCTGAGCCGGGGAATTTCTCGGCAGTCGCGGCGCAAATGCTACGTCTCACCCCTCCAAACCGATGGCAACCCCAGATGAACATCGAGCCCGAAGAGCCCTCATTTCTATATAGAGAATTCGTCTTAAAAGAGCGGCCCAGGTTCATTTGGTGGGGGAAAGGCGTTGCTTGTTTCTTCGAAAGGCCGGTGACTGTGGTACTCTCCAAGAAATCAGTCTGGGCGGTCTTCCACTCGCAAAACTGGCCGATCATTGGGTGTGTATTTTTGCAACTATACATATCTTATAGTTGATCGAAATTCAGGGAGCCTAAAGAATGTTTTCCCTTTGGGCTTCACTATATAACTGGCAACAAGTGCACTCTCCAAGACAGCACCCATTATCCTGCTTCCAGACTTGCAAACAGTAGGCCAATTAATTGGCCGCCAGAATCTTTTGCTGGGATCTGCCATAGATTTCACAGCTGACATTCCATGGGCTCTCAGGCAGAAGCAAAGAGGGTTACCTGGTCACATTTCTGGGGGCACTCCTGAATCCTCTCCCCCGCTGGAAGGAGTCACAACCAAAACGTAGCAGAGCAGTCCACCGAAAAACGCATGCTAGCAGGGGACAAAATATTTAGGATTGAGGAGTGGGGGATTTTCAAACCGTCATGGTTGTGGGATTGCCGCTTCTATGTCTCGGGTATGTTGACCGGGACGATAAGGTGAGCTACTCAGCACCCAGAACCCGTAGGTGTGGCCGCGACAGTGGATCCTAAAACTAGGGACCATGGTATGTGAAAGGGCAGCAGCCAACAGTGGTCACACATTTCAGGGCGCACACATGTGGCTTTGCGGGCCAATGTTTGACAATTCCACAACCTGGAATAAGAGATCCTCAAGAAGAGGGCCTAGATAGTGGTGAACCCAGCATACCTTGAGGTGGGCGCCAGGCGTTGTTCCTAGGACAAAACTCGGGTCCGCTTAGGTGAGCGTTGACCATAAACCGGCCTGACCCCACATAGGCGTCCCGGCCAATCCAGCCGGAGGACAGGGCCGCGCTGCAATAGCGCTCCGCGTTCGGCCTGGTGGACATGGTTTGCTTTCAGCTGCTTTTTTGGTGCTTGTGTTCTGCACCGCTCGTTTGTTCTCCTCCAATAATTTGTCAATTGCTCATCCGGGAGGATCTCCTCCAGAACGAAAAGGGATAGCCTGGACCTGCAACCCGCAATGAGATCGCAATCGAATTACAAATGAAGGAGTGATGTCCAAAGGAACCACTCCAAAGGGCCTTGGGAGTGGTTCCCCCCCATCAATCTGATCATGGGTTGAGTATGAAGGGAAATCTCAGCAAAGAAGACAAATCACTGGACTGTTGGAGTCTGGAGCCAGCGCTCTCAGATCAACGAAAGCGTTCTGGCACTGTTTCAAGTGGACAACATGCGAGTTCTGGCAGGCACTTCCAATCCCTGCCTGAAGTCATAGCAAATCAATGGTTGCCGGCTTTGGAACGCAGGAAGAGACGTTCAGCCGCCGAAAGAACCTGATGCTTGTTCTGCGTGCTATAGTGATTTGGGTGTGTCCAAAGACAGGCCTCCCAAACTGAAAGTTGGTTCCTTTGGATTTCCCCCTTCAAACAGCATTCAAAAACAAGGTTCAACCAGCTTTCTTGACATAGGTTTTAGGGTGGCTTTCTGCTCAGTCGTCAAGCCTTTGGGGTGCCGAAGGGGACAGCCATCACTTGCTGGAAATGGGGTCTTCCGCACTGGGATGCTTTCTGCGTTTCTAAGCGACCACGGATCAGGTCAATCAGACGAGAATCGTTCTTCCATACTGTGGATGGACAAAATCCTGCATCACCTGAGAGACCATAGAATGATGATTCCCCTGTAAATACCAACCAACAGTGGTTTCCCATGGTTTTGAAGTGGTGCGAAATGGATTTCGTCCATCCACAGAATGACCAAAATAAGAGTCGCGATCATCACACGCGTCAAGGCCCAGGCCCGATCAGCGGCTCGTTCATGCGCAGCTTCTTCCGCGCCCCAAGGGCCGCCCCGGGAATGACCGCCTCGCAAGAAGGAAATTGTCTGATAGCCAGGGCCGTGCTCAGGGATTCAGCTTTTTGGGACCGAGCCCCAAGCAAAAGGTGAAACTCACCAAAAGATTTCTCAGTTGGGGCTTCCAAAAACAGAGTCCACCTCAGCCATGGCTTCAACGAAAACTGGCCAACCACTGAGCCGTCGGCAAGAAATGGCAAACCCATCTGGAGATGGTCCCGCTTCGGGCGAACCGAACCGTGCACTAACCCGGGCTTAGAGCGGGGCAGCCGGCCAAGCCGTTGCCATAGGAACGCAAACATTGCGCAACTCGGTCAATCCATTGAGAAAACCTAACCAAATCGGTATGGGTGGAAAAACTTACACGACCTTGTGGTGGAAATCGTTTGGGAGGGCATATATATATATATGGTATGGTATGGTATGGTATGGTATGGTATGGTATGGTATGGTATGGTATGGTATGGTATGGTATGGTATGGGTATGGTATGGTATGGTATGGTATGGTATGGTATGGTATGGTATGGTATGGTATGGTATGGTATGGTATGGTATGGTATGGTATGGTATGGTATGGTATGGTATGGTATGGTATGGTATGGTATGGTATGGTATGGTATGGGTATGGTATGGTATGGTATGGTATGGTATGGTATGGTATGGTATGGTATGGTATGGTATGGTATGGTATGGTATGGGTATGGTATGGTATGGTATGGTATGGTATGGTATGGTATGGTATGGTATGGTATGGTATGGTATGGTATGGTATGGTATGGTATGGTATGGTATGGTATGGTATGGTATGGTATGGTATGTATGTATGTATGTATGTATGTATGTATGTATGTATGTATGTATGTATGTATGTATGTGTATGTATGTGTATGTATGTATGTATGTATGTATGTATGTATGTATGTATGTATGTATGTATGTATGTATGTATGTATGTATGTATGTATGTATGTATGTATGTATGTATGTATGTATGTATGTATGTATGTATGTATGTATACATATATACGTGCACCAACCACATGTGAGGTGGTTCCCTAAACGTGCTGCACAACTCGGCCAGTTCATTGGCCATGGTTGAAACACCAATAGACATGCCACCCATTTTAAAGGGTCCCTAACTTCTTACCGGTACAAAGCACAGAAAGCACCAGCAAGCTATCTTGAAGCCAAGCAAGTAATCTATTTGCCCGGTTGTTGCGCGCGGGCTTGCTGCAACGGCCCACGTGTCTGGCATCTCGGATTTCAGGGTGCCTCTCCTCCCCCCAACCCCCAAACAGAAGGAGCATCGGCATCGGCATGTGGGATGTTGAATGAAACCCCAAACCAAGACCAACCACTAAGCACCAATAAGGCATCAGATCGGCCTTGTTCTTCTTCTCGGAGGTCTTCAGCGGCCTGTGGATGTCTGAGTCGCTCATCTTCACAATGGTGCCCCCGACGTTGGAGTACCAGTGCCTCAATGGTCAACTGGCAAACAGATCGTCTACAATCGCCATGGCCGCCGTCTTTAAGAAGAACGTGCTGCGCCTGGACGCCTCTTGGCTGAGTCCGGGTTTTTGGAGTCTGGGTGAGACTGGTGATGCTTCCTGGTCATTCAGAGTCTGGGCTTTTAGAGTCTGGGCTTTTAGAGTCTGGGCGATGCTGGTGATGCTGGTGATGCTGGTGATGCTTCCTGGTCAGGTCTTGGCCGAGTGTGGTGATGCTGGTGATAGTTCCGGTCTGCTTCCGAGTGTTTAGAGCCTGCGTGCTGCCAGTGTTGCTTCCTGGTCTTTTCCCGCGTCTGGTGATGCTCTCGATCTTTACTAGCAGCAGCAAGCCCTGCTGACACCCTCAAACCAAAAGCGATCTTTACCAACCACCATCACCGGCATCACCCAAACCCTGAAGATCCAGACGCAATCTTTGTCCAAAAGAACGCATCACCCCTCGAAACTAACACTCAGCCTTCATCAGCAAGAACAGCAAGCATCACCGCCACCCGGCCTTGAAAACCCTACACCCAGAAGCATCCCCCGGCAAAGACGGCCAAGAGACTCGGCCAAGAAGAGGGGACCAGGCTTTAGGTCAGTGTAAAAACAAGGGACCGCTCTGGAACAAAAAAGCTAAAAGACTGGGTACAAAAAAAAAACCATCACCAGCATCACCAGCATCACCCGGACTCTGAAAACCAAGATTCAGCCAAGACCAATTTCCGGGAAGCAGCATCAGCATCAGAATAACCAGAAAGCATCACCAGCATCACCCAGACTCTAAAAAACCAGACTCGGCCAAAGACCAGAATGACCAGAAAGCAACACCAGCATCACCAGAATTACCCATACTCTAAAAACTCACACTCAGCCAAGACCAGAATGAGCTCCACCAAGATCGGAATGACCGGGAAGCATCACCAGCATCACCCAGACTCTCAAAACCCACGCATCACCAGCACCACCAGCATCACCCAGACTCTAAAAGCCCAGACTCGGCCGAGACAGAATGAAAAAGAAGCATCACCTAAAAACCCAGGCTCGGCCAAGACCAGAACAACATCACCATCACCCAGACTCTAACAACGTGGACTCGCCCAGGACCAGAATGAGGAAGCATCCCTAGAAACTCCAATGCTCAGGAAGCAAACTCGGCCAGAAAGCATCCAGAATGACCAGGAAGCATCACCACGACCAGAATGACGAGGAGGCCAGCATCATCCCGGGCCAAACCCAGCAAGCATCACCAGCCGATGTTTAGAACCTATAGGATAACGATGATGCTTCC